TCACAGCTCCCGTGACGCGTGCTTTAGAATTTCAGAGCAATTCCTAACAGCATCAGTATAGCTAGAGGGCAATTTGTTCCCTTATTTCTTGGGATGAAATAAGGGAACAAATTGTGAACCCTCTCTGAAACGAGTAACGGGGTTTCCATCTCATTTTCCTGGTGCAAACACCCCCCTTGTACCCACAGCAGAATTCTGAAGGCCAACGCCACAAAACACACTTTGAAAGGGACACAAAATCTATCTGACACCTCATGCAACTCCAGAACATTTGACAATTAAGTCCATCATAGCAAACTCCTTTCTTTTCCAGATAAAGCAGGTAAGCAGATCAGGTACTCTATGTGAAGTTAATCAGAAACTGGCTTAAAGCAAGAAAAGGATTTAATTAAGAATTCAAAACTGATGTTCTTTGCTTAATCTTCTCAATTCCAGATATTAACACCTCTACTACATATCAGTATGTCAATATCTGGATGTGATGAAATGAATTAAAGCTATGGATGTCCCAGTGTGTTACATGTTTAGATGAAGTTTTGGCTTTGCCCCCCTGAGCTGCTGGCTGGCACAGGTCAGCAGGCACACCACGGTCACTACAGCAGAGAAAACGGTAAGAGTTACTCAAGTATCAAATGACTTCTCCAGTGTAAGGGCTGTGTTTTCCTCTGGCCCACAAGCAGGACTGCAAACTGCGAGCAGGGAAATGGTGACATCCAGTGCTCAGATATTCTGTAAAGTGTTCTCATCCCCTCTGCGCTTGTTTGTGCTTGTTCCATGAACAGACACCTCCAGTGCTGGACACACAGGTGTGTTATGTCACAGCAAAGTGCTCTAAACACGAGAAACTGAACAAGAAATTAAAGCTCTTTTATCTTCAGGCTTTCTCTTTGAATGAACAACACGTAATGTGAACAACTCCAGAAACCAGGCCACAAACTGCCATGGTGGTTTTAGGTCAGCCCCTCTGTAACTCTATTTATATTCATTGAGAAGGCATAAGTGGCACAGCTGATGTCAGAGATCTGTGAGGATTTTATTGCCAGGAACACCTGCACAGCACGTGGACAGTTTCAACAGTCTCCATGCCTACCCCATCAGCTACTTCTTCGTCCCCTGGAGGGGGGAGCACTGTGCTCTAGTCAAGGTGTTGGAGAAGAGTACGAAAAACATGCAGGAATCAACAGGCAGAATAAGATCAAAGCCCTTTTCTGTCCATAAGACCAAACAACTGGGCATTCTAAGGGGAGCTTTTTGCTCAGGCATCACTCTCCCTAAATCCCAAAGTCTTTTCGTTACCAGCATTAAATGTGAGGGTGTCTGACACCCGCCAAACTAGCTGCATTTTTGTATTTGAAGGTTTACCAGCTCCTGAGCTCAGAAACTGCCAGCTCAGACAGCAGCTGTCCATCAGACCCACAATACTTCAATCCAAACCCTGGTTCCCCCCAGTGTTTATCTTTCCAGTCCAGCCCAGCTCCCACAGACATGCTCTTCTGCAGCTTAGGGCGATGCACTCCAGATCACACAAGCGTTCAAAAACCCTGTCCAGCACACAGTTCATTCCATACAAGCTGCAACAGAGCTCGGAGATGCAGCTTTACAGCATCACTTGCAGCAGGTTCAGAAATATTCAGCACTGCTGGATCCTGAACAGACGCTTGCTCAGTTTTGATATACAATTATTTGTTCATGAGAGTGGTTGTTCCTTCCTTTCCCCAGCACATAAAAATGAGGGTTGAATGCTCTCAAAACCCCGCATGAATATCTACCTTTTGATACAGCAATTTCAGTAAGCTTAAATATTACTATTTTGTGTTCTTATAAAATTTAAGTCACCTTATTGCTCCTGCTTTCTGTAAATCACAGGCATCCCTAAAGTCCCAGTTTCTGCCTAGAAAAGCAGGCTGGAGAGGCTGCTGGAGCAGCCTGCCTCACGCTCAGCAGTTACTCAAGGATGGCAAGAGCCCCAACTAGCAGGGGCTGCAGCCGCTCAGCCCCAGTGCTCCCTGGCACCAAGGAGGAATAAAAGGGGAATTCTGAACATACACTGATGCACACTCAGCCATGGCAGCACTGCAGCAGCTACACAAACAGGGGGCTTGCGCTGTTCCAAAGACAACTGAGCTGTGCATGCACCCACCCTGGGCCAGCTCCTGCGCGGTGCCATCACGTGCCATCTGATGGACACAAAGAACCTGTAGCCAGAACGGCTTTAAACTGAAGTTTAAATACAGTTAATTATTTTTGAATGAATATTTCTCCTATCCTAATGAATTCCTTAAAACAGAAACAGCAACATAAACATAAAAAACAGATTAGAAAAAGTCTGATGTGGTGTGCCATAGTTACCTTCTTCATTTTCAAAGACACTGCCAACAGAAAACCGTATCTGGGCAGGACAGTGGAATTTGTGTCATCATGACCAAGCGATTGTGGCGCAGCGAGATGCTCCCGCGGCTCTGCGGTCCTGGTCCCCATGGAAACCGGACTGGGATATTGTCCTCCGCTCGCTGGAGCACCGAGTCGGGAGCCTTTTGTGCCTGATGAGATTTCTTCCACAACCTTCCAGCAACAGACCCTATGCTTCCTCCTGACTCTTTCCTAATTGAGATGCAAATTAATCTCTGTGGCTGATTACACTTCCCTTACAGCCCCTGACAAGTGCAGCTGTAGCTGGAGTTTACAGACTTCCCAACAAGTGACTTCAGCTGGCCCAGCTCCCCAGCACGTCCTGTCCCCCTGTGCCACCACGATGAGCCCGGTGTCCCCATGGCCACCTTCACCTGCCTGCCCCTCTGCACCACACAGGGCAGGACAGAGACCCAGTAGATACTGCTCACCCTGCCACTGCTCCAGCACGAGCACCAGGGACTCGGCACCTTATTGCCATTGAACCCTTGGCACCAGGGTTTGATCCATTTCTAACCACACTTGAGTCTAAACACCTTTAGCTACTCACCCTTAGTGTGGGTGGTGGCAGGAGAAGGGGCAGATCATCCTCAGCTCTGCCTCACTCCAGCCCTCGGTGCTCACCCCAACTGCATGGTTACAGCTGGTGTGCATAAACACCCCTTACTTTGACAGGATCATTGCTTTTTATTTCTCCCTCTCACTGATATTTTTTGAGTTATCTCCATCTCCAGTCTGATAAAAGCACTTCCATTTACTGTTTGCACTGCTGTGTCCGTTTCCATCCTGTCCCCCTCAGAGCGCTGGCAAAGCAAACACTGGAGTGGAGTCACTCACCCTCTGGAAGCTGCGGAGCAATGCGGCTCCACTAGGCTCAAACATCACCTTTACACATCTACATATCTTCACATTCCAATTGCTGGCTCATTATGAATTTTAGTATATCTCAAAGTGCATCACTATCTGTAGGATGAGTTACGGATAGCCTTCTCTCCTGCTCCACTGTCATTGCGATGGGATCTGCCCACCACATTCCCTTTGTCCCTATCTCAGGAGTTTCTCAATCCACTTCCATTTATCAGACAGACAAGCGGCAGTTGATTCACTACAGACATCGCTGGTGCACAAGCAGCCACAAAAAAGGGCGGAAAAGAATGCGGGGACAGATGCTGCTCCCAACCTGTGCGGAGCAGCGCCCCGTGCTGCTCGTGTGGCCCCGGGACACGCAGGGACCCCGAGGGAGCCCCCCCGGGACACGCAGGGACCCCGAGGGAGCCCCCCTGGAGAGCAGGAGCACGGCCAGCTGGTGGGCACCGCTCGCTCACAAAACGCTGCAAGCCCAAAGCAGGGTCGGGAACCGGAGGACTCCAGCCAGGAGTGAGGGGCTGGAATTGCTCCATTACGGTAACTGCTGCTACACATGTTACTATTGCTACCCTGTTATTTTACTATCACCCACTGACTGAGAAGCACACAGAATTCTGCACAGAACAGTTTCAGGAATTTGTTACATTTCTCTCAAGAAACAAAGTGGAAAAGTCAGGAAGCCTTGACTCACCCGTCAGGCACTGCCACGGTTTGCACAACTGCCACCAACTGCCTTTGCTTTACAACGAGTACACAATTCAGTTAATAAAATACAAACCTATTTAACCACAGGGCTACTTGTAATTTATGATGACTTTTGCAAAGCATTCTCCTTAAAATTTAGTCTTTAAAAAAAGACAACTAGTACTTTGAGGATACCCCGTGTTTTAAAAATGTGCATCTCAAACTAATTCATTAATGTTCTTTCAAAGATCAAAACATTTAACTTAAAAACACTTTCTCGAAGTCACATGGTTAGAAAAATGCTCAAATCAAAAGCTCCCCAGAGAAAGTAAAGTGCAGCGTGTGTTGGTCCTGAGATAAGTGATGTGATTAGCAAAACAAGCTATAAAATGTCTGATGGCATTATGGGAAAAGCCTAGAATGAGTGAAAACCAGTGCTGGTGCTGAGGGTCTGTGCAGCACCCAGAAATAAAAGCCTGTGTCACAACTCCTGTCCCAGAGAGCATATCCTCTCGTTACCTTCCAGTCAACTGCTGGAAAACAGGTTCTGAAAATGCCCATGGCTAGAATGAAATCAGAATTTGCAAACTGAAACATCTGTATCTGAGCACAAATCCCACCTGTCTTACTAATGTAATGAATCCAGGTGAAGTCAATTGGACCAGAACTTTGAATAGGGTAAGAACACGATGGAGCTGCACACCAGCCTGACGTACACAGCTGGTAACGTCCATCAGCGTGAAGGAAAAGCGATAATAATCATTACTCACAGTTCAAAGCACCAGTGCTAAGTCCAGGTCTGCCAGCAGTGAGATGGAAGCTGTTGGTGAGAGCACTCCTGTGATGTTACCATTCTATTTTTAAAATACTGGGCAACTGGGTGTGAACCACTGAAAACATCAAGCTGCAGCAGAGAAAACACCGACCTTTGCCAATGAAATCCAAGAGGACAAATTTTCATCGGAGCCTACCTCTCTGCAGAAGGATGCTCTAAGTAAGAACCTACCAAGGGGAGCCTTGCCCCCTGGGAGAAAGGATACAAGCTCTGGTAGAGTGGGATGAGGGACTTGACGGCTCTGCTGGCGTTGATGCACGTGGCACAGATCAGGCTTGGCAGCAGCTTCGCGGTCACGATCGCTCCATCGAAGAGAGGACCGAAAAACGGCACCTGGGGACCCAAACCAGAACAACAGGCCTCAGAACCACCACGGGACATGGGTACAGCATTTTGCCACAAACCACTATGAGCACACTGTTCCACACGCTGAGACTCCCAGTGTGACACTCATCCCCCAAGTCTGGAAGTGTTTAAATCCTCCACAGCTGCCCTCAGCATGCTGTACGTGGATACCCACCTCACAGAACACTCAGCTGGGTAACAGGAGCTTGTTACTCACAGGAACCAAGTCCCTCTATCAATCTGCAAGCGATATGCCATGGGGAGGACATAGAAAGAACTGTTTCCTGCCTGGGATCCCAGCACAACACCCTGATTCACTGGCTGAATCCACCCTTGGCAGGAGGTTTCTCAAAAACATATTTGCTTCAGATAATCCTCTATAAACTCCTTCTGGGGACTTTGCAAAAAGAAAAAAACTCAGGCTGGACCAAGATAAGGAGGTGTGTGGGAGGCAGAGGAGATGGCAGAGCAGGGCCCCCTCGGAGGGGCAGAACACACAGCTGGACAGGCACAAACTGGCCTGGTCCAGCCAGTCCAGGTGCCCAAACGCTGCCCTGTCAGGGTCACCTCCAGAGGAACCCCCATTATGATGCCCCTGGTGAGCCAGGGCTCTGCAGAGAAAGGCCACACCAGGTACCAGAGATGCTTTCTGAAAGTCAGGCACGTCTGGAATTGCAGACGCATAACAGACCTGGTCAGCCAAACCCAGAAAATTCTGATGTTTAAATACATCATGAATTTTAGCACTTACAAGTATTCAAACTCATTTCACTTTCACGAACTCGAAGTGAAAAAAACCAACCCCCCAACCAAAGCCCTAAACAGAAGCCAGCAGAAATTATCAATATTTAAGCTATGGATTTTTTCCATCTGTACAGAGGCTTATCACATAAATAAATACCCTCTATTATTCTTCTGCAACTGCTTGTGGGTGACTGTGACAGTCATTCAATAAATGGACAAAGGGAATAATATAAATCCCCTGCATCTAGGGAATTCCTCTAATTAGAAGTGGCAATGAATTACAGAAGAAATTTGGGGTTAATATAACATCTGCAAATGACAGCTGTCTCTTCACACACTTATTCTGTCATTCCTTTACTTAAAATAATTACCCACCCCCAAAAAATAAATTAGTGTAAAATATTTCCATAGTGGTTTTGCCTTTGATTTTTATTTACTGCTGGCATTACGGTCCAGGCAGTGGAAAAGAAAGGAGAGAGAGGACAATCTATGCTACCGAAATGATAATGTTCCAGAGCATCAAGTTCTTCCTCCTTAAGAAATAACATTTCTAAGTGAAATTTTTAGTCCATGCTCTGTTTAGAAGTATTGACAATGACAACAGAGAAAAGACTGTAAAACTATATTCTTAAGTACAAATAAGTACAATTATTATTAAAATTATCCCACCACCCAAATACCAGATATGTAAAGTCAGAGTAGCAGATGCCACCGGCGCAGGGAAATGCCCTGTCAGGCTTTTTGGTGCCACTGTTTCAGACCCACCTGGAGTTGGGGAGCGGGGCAGAGTTTCCCACCACAGCACTACAGAATTTGTAGATCCCAACTCTGGACATACACATCCCCCCACACGGGGAGAGGAGCTGAGGGTTCGGCGGAGCCGCCGTGATCCGAGCGCGGCACAGCCGGACCCCGCGGACATAAAGCTTGGAATTATTCATTCCCCGGCAGATCCAGCGGCCTCGCCGAGGGTCATTAAAGTCACTGGAGCTGCATCTCGTCAGCCTCCATCTGTACAGGGGCTCTGGCCCGGCGAGGGGTCTGGGGGGGAGGCCAGCGGAACGCACGGGGCATGTTCCCCGTTCCCCGTTCCCCGCTCGGCACGGCTCCGTGCCCCGGCACTGAACACCCATCCGAGGGAAGCAGGGCTGGGATGGTTACTACAAACGGTCTGCTTGGACAGGAACCGACTAACAAAAAGGGCAGAGGGAAAGATCCCCTTCTGCGAGTACTCCAAATGTCACCGCAAGTTACCCACGAAGCAAAAATTAATATTCAGCCCCCTGCAAACACCTGCTTCGTTCCTGTTTCCAACAGAAAAATCATTATTTCTGTTGCCTGCAGTAAAAGTAGGCAAGGTTAAATAAACCTTCTGAGCACAAAGCCTTCCCCTCTACGGCGAGCAGCACTAGTTAAAAGAGAGGGGAATGGGTAAATTATTGTACCAAATGGCTGAGAATTAATCTCTGATGACGAGCTGCAATCTAACGAGGCATCTGTGTCCCAGGGAACCCGCAGCATGTCCCTGGCGGTATGTGCAGTGCGGAGCCTGCCTGGCATGCTTTGTCCCCTCTCGCAGGCAGCTTTTCCTCTCATTGTTCCCAATATCCTCGTGCATCTGTGACGCGTGGAATGCATTCACACTAACAGACTTACTATTGTCTTCCCCCCGAAGCTTTGTCGGGCAAAGACTGCAGCACGGTTCCTGATAATTATATTGCTTAATTAATCAAGACAAAAAAAATTTGCAAATCATTGCCCGGTTGCCAAGCAGGGAGATCAAAAATGAAAACAATACAAGCTGAAGCAACATAACAAAAGTAACAGCTATCTGATCAGAAATTCTTCTATAATGAAGCTATTAATGCTAAAGCGGTTAATGTTAACATTGCTCCAGGTGTCTCTACTTGGCTGCAAACAAAAAGGCTAACATTATGGATATAAAAGGCCAAATGTTGCCATGGATTCTGTAACCTGATAGAGAGGACAGCCTTTTCATTCGATTAGGGAATGCAATTTAAATACCAGGGACTGAAGCCAAACAACAGACATTTCTCTCTGCAAGCCTCTTTCATTCACCCTGGGGTCAGTAGCTGGTGAACAAAAGGTCAGCCACACTTGCCCTGGAAATGTCTGGATTAATTTTATTACATTGTAATGGTTTGTACTTTAAATGTAGGGATAACACTAAATTTCCAGTTAGCTCTTATTCTGGCTGCCCGTTGGGTGCTTTTGACTAATATGTAAGATGACACAGCTTTTCTCCGTTGCTCCAGAGCGGTCTCAAGCGTGCTCCTCACACTAAAGCTTTAGCTTTTAATGTTCCGTTGGGAAAATAAAATACCCAAAAAGTAAATTGCAGACCTCAAACGGCAAATGTAAGGAAAAATCCCCCACTATTAGAAAATTTTCAAGTTTGAAACATCTACTGACAAACCACTGGTTGTCCATATCTAACAACTCCATCATTCATAACTCAAAAAATACTGTCTGCAGCTGGTAAATACATCACCTGATGGAGGCATTTCCCACAGTTGGTTACTCTCTTGGACAAACTGTCCATCATATAAGGGAAATTGTATTTATCACACTGGTTACTGTCACTAAGTATATTTGATATACATTTTTGTGTCCATAATGTACCAGACAAGCATTTACTGCAGCAGCTTTTTCATACCTATGCATAAATGTACATACACACCCCCCTGATATGTTGAAAAAATAAAAAAGTATTTTTTTTTTCCTCGAAAGCGTCTCAAATGTGGTGGCAAAGGATGATTTAACCGGGAAATTGTGAATTGTTTGTTGTCAGGATCATCCCACCCAGCCAGCCGGTGCTGATGGCCCCACGTGTGCGACAGGGACCCCACAGCACACGGGTGTTTTGCTGTCACTGCCCCACGGTGGAAATGCACAGTGCTCTTAAATACTGCAATCTGCACAGAGATTTCTGTGATTGCGAGTTCTGGTGTGTTTCTGTGATGCTAATCGTGACCATAAAATGAACGAGCAGGCACCTGGATCGCCGTCAGTAATTCTGGTTTTAAACTACGAGCTCACTGCTCAGCTTTTTGCCTCAGATGGACAGACTGTATTTTGTACTTGCTGGGAAAAAATAACCCCCAAGCTCGAAAGCGCTGAGCTTTATTTAAGCAGCAGAACAACACACGGCAACCCCAGCAAAGCAGCCCAAACGTACCTCTGGTTTCTTCATGATCTCTATGAAAAACATGTGATTCTTCATGGGGTAAATGACGATGAGAACATCCCCAAAGTCCGTGGGGATGATGCCCCGGCGGTAGTTGCGGGTGTGCTCAGACCAGACGATGTGAACCTCGTCATTTCCCAAGTGACGAAGCTGCAACAGCAAATTGGCTCTTTATTAATCCGAGTGATAACCACGGTTTAGGAGGGGTCACGGCTCACAAATTGAATTACAATGCTCAATAGCAGGAATATTTCATTACAGAAAAAGTTAAAATATTGTTTTTCTCCAGTTGCTCATGAAAGCATCAGCTCAATAATTTGCTTCATTCACAACACATTGTTGTCTGATGGCTTAATTAAGTCATTATCAAACTAGCCATTAGCATGATATGTAAATGTACATTACCTACAGTGATTTAAGATGGAAAACTGAATTACTAGAACAAAACATTACCCAACAGAACATCATATTCCAGCTAAAACGAGGCAGCTGTCACAGAAATATGAAATGCCTTGACTCAGGATGTCAAGAGACTGTCTATCACGAACCACTATAACCGAATTTATTATCCACAAACATCCCCTCACTGTGTGTGGAGGGGGCTTCTGCTTGAAACATCAGCAAAATATCTGGGCAATGTGAGTGAGAGAAGAATGGGAAATACTACGGGAGCTACCTTTTTATTTGGAGCAGAGTTGCATAAAATATGGCTAAAATTTAAACATGACATACACAAAATGCATCTGAGAGCCTGTGTGTGTGTGCTCTGCTACTGGAGGAGCTGGAGGTGATCTAACAGATGGCAAAAACTATTTGGCAATCACGTACAAGCCTCACACAATGGTTTCAACTGTAAGCTTTAAAGTTAAAATGTAATCCACATGCAGAATGCCAGCCCAATGCATAAAGAGAATTTAAGTCCCACTTAAAGCTTAAAAGACACCCCCCACCCCCACAATTTGGTGCTACCCCTGGAACAATGTGCACAATAGACCGAACAAAGAAGCCAAAATGAAGCTCTGCTACTTCACTCTGTGTGGGGAGAAAGAAGAAAGGGAAAAGAAAATGGTGATTTTCACTGGTAAATAACAACTGAGTTACCCCAACATGCCTTGGATCAGCCCACGTACCAGTGTAACTTCCCTCTTCAGAATCAAGCAGTGCCTTTAGAAGGAAAAACTTTCACTCCTACATATCAGTGGCAAAATGGATCCCAGACACGAGAGGAACATGGCAAAACCAACACATTACGAGGAGGAAAAAGTCACAACTGTGAACTTGGCTTACAGCTCATACTCCAATAAAGTAAAGCTCAGTTCATAGAAGGACTGAGATTCTTAGAGTTTATTTTAAATTAAACTGACAATAAAGAGTTGGGTTTTATTTACACCTATGAATAACAGGCAATTTTAGTTCTGTTTGAAGAAAACACGAACCTTTCGTGTCTTGTAAAAACCACCAATTAACAGCACTATTACTAGAGCTTCTTACGTGTACAAAAACAGTAGGAACTGCTGTTCTCATGGTCCCCCTGATTTCTGTGCCAAAGTGATTAGACACAAGATGTCATATCTAGTGTTAAAAACCCCCAAAATCCTTCTGGTGACCAGACTGTGTGCACAGTGGGTTCCAGAGGCTGGGGATGTGGGTGCCTGACCAGGCTGTCCCGCTCCACGCCGATGCCAAGCTCAAACCCAGCTCAGCTCCTCTGAAGAAAAGGCTCTGTATCACCTTGCCTCCTTGTGGCTTTTGGGGTGAGAAACAGCACATACTGCTATACAAACAAAGTCACCAAAGTGTGTCCAAATGCTGCTTAAGGGATGCTTCCTAAAATCCCAGGGAACTGCCTGGATAATAAAACACTTTGCATGCTGCAGATTCCCAAACCACTTTGTACTGATACCACATCCTGGAGAACAGAATTCAGTGGAGAGGGAGAAGTCAGCTGAACTGGCGCTTGCTGTGCTCGTGTGGGACAGGGAGTGACGGCTCAAACCCTTGCAAATGTCCTGGGATATGAATCCCACCTCTGCTGCAATCCCCACTGCATGCCAGCAACTCGCTGCAGGGCTTGAGTTACCGCCCTTGTAGCAACATCCTTAAGAGTCCCAGTGACAAGGTATAATGCTACAAAGGAAAAACGGGTACTAATCAAAAATGTTTGCTATTGAAAGATAATTTCACTGACAAAAAGCCATTACAGTAATCTTATCAGTGACAATAAGGCAGCTATTCTCCTGTGCTGTTTATTCAAAACAGCAGCTGTGGGGCAGAGTCAGTGCCACGAAGGACTTGTGCTGAAAGGTCTAAAGCCCCACAGCCAACACATGTGCAGCCAGAGTCCCAGGCTGTGCTTTCAACGTGGTTTAGGAGTGGGGGGTAAGGGAAAAGAATACATTAAAAACCCAAACCCAAACCAAATCAGCCAGGAAATGAGACAGATATTAAAAAGCAGAGCCCAAGAACGGCCCAGCTCAGAGCTGACTGGAAATGGCAGCTGTGTCTCCTCCCGGGCAGCAGGCGGATTTTGGCTGACATGGCAGCGGTGGCCATGCTCTGGGCTGCAGGTGCCTGGATGTGCCGTGGGGTCAGTCAGTCCCCCGTCCCTCGGGGCAGTGGCAGCGCTGTGGGCTCCCCCACGCCCGGTGCCCACTGACACCGGTCACGGTGCACACCTCGGCCTGACCTCCTTTCCCTGCTAATTGCATTACACAGCCAGCTGGCTCCAGAGAGGAGTCGTCTGTTTGACTGAAGAATTCCTGCTTTTGGGGAGGCATGGCTGCTACTTTTGCTAAGTAACAGTGGGGCCTGACATCCCCATTGTCTGCCTGACAGTGTGCCCATCCTAAAATCTAAGTTTTATTTGTAAATTAACCAAGAAACTTCCTGCCAGAGCAGGGCTGCCTGGAGACTGATAATGTGTGCCTTTCATTCCCTTTCACTCTCACTGTATCACTGCCAATTTGTTTTTCTGCTGCTCGCCAGCCCGAGGCCATAAAAGCCTTGTAAGACATAAGTGCAATTATAGTCCTGGAGTCAAATGAATTGGACAAATCCAATAGCACAGCTCTGTCCCCACTCTGCAAAGCCCTACAGCAGTCAGATTAGCTGCTAAAAATCTAATCTAGCCCCAGCTAACAAATTTCTGCAGCGAAGGAGCAAGAGTTCACTATGGGGTTGCAACCAGATTTTTGAATTGAAAAAGTTCTGCTCTGACAATGGAGAAGATGGAATAAATCACCGAGAAATTCTGCAGCACATCTTTAAACCGTTAAGCACAATTTGGGCAGAACAAGACAGGGACAGTAGGATGCCATTCCTGGGATTGATTTTCACTCTTGCTACACGACAGCCAGATAAAGTTTGGAACCAATGATGCTGAACCCTGCAGCAGCAAAAGAGATCAGCTGAATTTTGTTTACTCCACTAGAAAAGGCTTCTGTCAGGGCCGAGATTTATTTAGAGAGGATTTCTTTCTTTCATTTTTTTTCCTTTCTCCCCGAATTAGCAATACAATATGTCAGCATATACCTCAAATAAAGAAATACAAACTGCAAATCACAACTCTGCTGCACAAAAATAAGGCGCCAAGTTCATCCTCAGAGAAAGAGCACTTACTCCTGGGAATTTATACCAGGAATGAATTTATCCCCGTGTTCCGTAAAAATAAAGACCCACAATAACATATTTCAGTAAAATTACTGCATCTGCTCAATGCCCCAGCCCCCAGAATTTATGGGCTGCTGCAGGGCTCCCCAGGCCAGCAGGTGGGCAGTCCTTCTGCTCAGCCAAGCCTTTCTGGGGGTCTGAGGCAACACAAGCAAAGCACCACAGGAATCGCACAGATCTCAGAGACAGGGACGCCTTAGATCCCAGACAGCATCTGATGGAAGGAAGGGGAGGGCAAGAAAAAGAAGTTGTGGCCACCATTGCATCCTGACTGGCAACCTGCTAAAAGTTCCTCCTCCCAGTAACACTGCCCTGCATCACCAAGATATGGCCATGTCTTCACTCCAAGACATGAACGCTTTCTGGGTGAAAAGAGCTCTTGCAGTGACAGAATCGTGGAGTGCCCTGGCTTCCATCTGGATAGTCAGTCAGGCTAGCTCATCCATCAGCATTCCAAAGCATTAGAGAACTGTCCATCTTCCAGAAACTTTGCAGTGCTTCTGAAATGCACCTTTTGTCACTCGTGGCTGTGGTTCTGTAAGATCTGCTGACAGTCTCTGCTCATTTGCCCAGAATTACATGTTTGCTCACAACAGAGCTGTGACAAACTGAACCAAACTGCTGTGTGCAGAAGCAAAGATCCATGTTAGAAAGCCCTCTGCAAGTCACCTGTCCAAGCCCCTGCTTGCAGCTCCTGATATCCAAGAGCTTGTTCAGAGCTTTGTCTTTTACAGGAATACACAGTTCGATCCCTGCAGGGTTCCATTCCTACAGCAGATTTCAGGCTTTTTTATAAAAGTCTTAGAGCAATTCCTTTGTGGTATTTTCTGTGGATAGTATGTGCTGGAGCTGGCCTGGTTTCCTGGCACTGCAAGACTTGGGAGACTGGCAGCTACTAAATGTTTTTGCTTTTTGTTTCTCACAAAGAAGGAATTCTCTTAGAGCAAACATAGGCAAGACAATTAAATAGAATAACCAGAGTCTCAATGTCTGTGATAACCCCTAGCATGGGTGGGAATCAGGAGAACTAATAAAATAGACTGTTTGCAGTTAAACCCCGTTTCTCCCCATGTGGTAACTCCATCACTGTGCTCCCTGCTCTCCCAGATGATGTGTTACTCTGCAGCCACATCATATCCCAGTGTCTTTGCTTGGCTTCCACAAAACCCAGGAGGCTACGACTTACAAGGGAAGATTAGACTAAACAGACAATTTCTGTAGGACAAGTAAGTCTGGGAAAGACATGGCAGCAATTCTCAGAATGCATAAGTCCGCAGCAAAACAGTCTGCCCTCCATATCCATGTGGAATAGGGTAGAATCAATGGGCTTTAACTGAAGCAAAGTGGATGCTGCAAGAGATTTTGTCATGGTACAAGAAGTGGAGCATAGGAATATGTTGCCTAGGGAAACTGTAAATCATTCATCACTGGAGTTTTGAACAAGCAGCTGGACAAATACCGGTCAGGAACAATAAAAAGACACACAGTCCTACCCTGGTCAAGTCCCAGACTCTACAGCCCCCCACTACACACCACTGCCCTGCTTCTCCAGCCTCAAGAACTCAGATTACACTTTTTCCCATAGCCACGTAAATCCACTGACACAAAGATAATGAGTTGCATACAGAAAGAGAAACATGGCATTTTACTGACTTTTTTTAAATGACAGATATCCCAGTAAAAAAGAAAGGATCTGGCTTTACTATGAAATGCTGGACAATTTTTTCAGGACCAGTAAGCAGAAATTCCACCTTTACATTTAAAGGAAAGGCACATGTGATTCTGAAAGCAACTGGACAGTGAAGAGAGTCACTCAGCGACATTTGCAGACTGTTCAGAGCACAGCAGAACCCCTTGGTGGGCTGGACAGCCTCAGCAGCATTACTGATGCACATTAACAACCTCTGCAGGACAAGCTGCCAATCCTAATTAAAAAGGCAGAGATTTGGTACGCCACTAAAATCTTCTTTGACTCTAAGAAGCAGCTGGCAAGCACTATAATCTCAAATCATTCCTTGTTAGGAAAGACAAAGATTAGGTACCAATACCAACAAAGTTTTGGGCTGGGTTCTGGCTGTCTTTGAAGCAGAGGCTGCTTGTCAGTATTGCACTTCAGTGGCTACTGGCTTTAGCTATCAGCTGTGGCTGCCTTGGGTCCAGAGCTTGTCACCTCCCTTTTGCTGTGCTGTTCCCTGCAGGATGATTGCTCTGGAAGGTTTTATTATGTTGCATTTGGTTGTTTTGCTCTACCAACCTGCAACAGCTTTGGCAGGCAGACAACATACAAATGAAATTATTGCTAATATTATTACTCATGGTGGTATTTGAGGCTACCATGGAAATGTTAACTGTGTTTCAGAACCCAGAATTTAGATGCCATTTAATTCAGATAATCCAGCTGCAGAGCACCATGTGGCACAGCAAAGATGGGATGCCAGGGCCCATTAATTAGCACGAGCTGCTTTCAGCTCAGACTTTCATTGAAGCACTTGGTGAAATGCACCACAAATTCTTTACCTTTTTGGTCAGTGAATCGTCCGAATCTGACGGCATCCTGGTGGACACGTGGAAAATGATCTCCACGGTGGAGGTAGCGTAGTAGGGAGCGGTCTGTCCTGTGCTGCCGTTGCGCTGCAGACCGCCCATAAAACCCCCGTGCGTGGAAAGATCCACCTGGGAGATTGAAAGTCAGGATTAGAGGAAATCCCACCAGACTGATGAATTATCAGTATTTATTTCTACACTGTGACCCTTCTGTTAGATGTGCCTTTCCCATTCCTGTATCGCACACTCACTAAAAGCAAATGTCTCATAACCAGGTCCTGAGCCAGTATCTATCTGGTGATTCTGCCTTCCTACAGCAAACAGCAGCAAGGAAGCAACACATGCTGCTCCTCCAAGGGCTCAGACCTCCCAGTGACAGGAGCCTCCCAAAGAGTAGAGAGAATAGAAAGAACCCGAGAAACTGAAGAAGAAACTAAAGATTTGTACAGAAAGAAAAGCCTTAGGAAAAAATTATTCCAGAAGCTTATTCAGAAGAAATGCCTCTCTGAAGTCCAGCTTGAGTCCAAAGGATTGGTTTTTTCCCCAGTGGCACCAGCCTGAGGACGATGCCTCTCCCTGTGAGCCTTGTGAAACTTCAATCCTTCACATGCAGCTACTCTGTATTTCCCAAACCCATACATTTTCATGGCACTTAGACTGTGACACACCATTCTAACAATGCAAATAATACCCAAAAGCTTCATGAAGAAGCTCCTGTGGTGAGTGTGTGCTCTGACCGCATCAAGAGCTAAAAGCAGCTACATATCAGTGTGTAGTGAAATTTATCTTTTTTTAATGAGAATTAAAAACTATGCAGTGACATTAGTGACATGTTAGTTTGCCCACAGTTATGGCTATTACCTCCCAGCCCAGTCCTGCTACAAAATCCTCATATGCCTGGCTTCCCCTGGCGTTGGCCAGGATGGAGCACTTGTCCTCCTGTCCCTCGGCGATGTAGAACACGGCGATCTTGTGAGTTTCCCGGCTGCAAAGTGACAAAAAGAAGGCACAGTTAAAGGAGTTTGAGCTCAAAAACTCCGAAGCTATGAGCAGGTGCCCACATTTAACTCCATGCATCCCTTTCTCTTTTGCACACAAGCGCATTGCTCACTCTCAGCTGCAGAAATAGATTTCTGCCCATTTTTTCTCCTCCCGCTGCAGACACCCCAGGTCTGAGAGAGCAGCCCAGGCTGGTCCTTCTGTGCATCAGCCACAGCACTGGTGAGCAAGTTCCAATTACAGGGTTAATGACTCAGAGCTGTGCAGCTTTGCCACAGACAGCGAGGTGGCACAGGTGTTAACGGGAGCATAATCTGACCTACAGAATTTTAATTACAGGCTGATGACATACAAGAAGGAAGAAACATTATTGACTCTTAGATCCTGGGCTCAGTTTTACAAGGCTGACAGAGACAGTTGGCTTCTCTGAAAACAAGCAAAGTGGATTTGATATGGAAACTGCTGGGATGCAATGCTGCAGAGGCTTTTCAAAGAGCTCTATGTCCAGTCATGAGAAATACAACATAACGCTCAGAACTCCGCTCTGCCACTCCCTGGCTAGGGAGCAGTTCTGGGGATATCACCCCTTAAAGTACTGCTCCTGATGTGGATCATCCTGAGAGGAATGGTCCTTCGTGTCAGCTGAACCAAGGTCACAAACAATTTAGGAACTTCTTCCCTCCCCTCTCAGCTAAGCAACCTGGAAATTCGTTGCTCTGTCTTATTATTTGCTACTGATTTGGAATTCGCTGTAATTCACAGAGCCAGTGCAGACAGCTCCTCCATTTGGGCTGTAGAACTCTGGAGAACAAACAATCCATTTCACATACTAATATTTGTATTGCTGGCACAGGCAATGGCAGGGAAGCTTTCGTTTTGGTGACTCACTCACTCTTCCCTGGGAAACATAAACCTTATCAATGGTGTGTCCAGAACACATCACCTACCATTGGCGGGAATCCAGATTTTTCAGTTCTCGCAGCAATTTTGAATTTTTCTTAAGCAAGTGAAAGCTTTTTCTAAAAAATAAAAAATAAAAAAAAAAATAAAATAAAAGGTTTGAAGGCAAATGCAACACCTTACACACACACAGTATTTTGTCATGCAAATACCTAAGTGAAGTGAATTCAATGAACATGACATGATTTTTAAAAATCTTGTTTTCTTAAGTGTGTACACGTTTGGGGGTAAGAAGTGAGAAGAGTAAGAGTACTGTAAACATGCTCTGAATCCCCTCTCCCTACCTTCTGTCCCAGGAGTTCATTCCCAAGTCGTTCAGCAACAGTCGACAGAAATAAAAGGAGGCTTGAGGCTCAGCAGGACGTGGTGGTTCCTGGCGGGCCACTTTCATGCTGCAGTCTGAGCTGCATTTCAGGATGAACTCCCTTTCCTGGGCGCTCTGCCTCATCAGGGCCTCCATGATGGCCCGCTCCTGCTCGCAGCTCATCCCGCAGGGCGGCGGTGCCGGCTCGTTCAGCCTGCGCTGGGGGTGCAGAAGGCACTCGGGGCTGGTGGCACCAATCTTCTCCAGCAACTGGTCCAGAGCGTCCTCTCCTTCCTCCGCCTGGGAAAGGTCGTTCTGGGAAGCGAAGAGGTGCTCGGGGTTGCTGGAGATGACGAAGGTGTTGGTGGCGCTCTGCTGTGGAAGGCAGCCCTCCAAAGGGCCGTACAGTATCCGGCCGTCCCAAGAGTACTTCCCTGAGATATCCCTGACGATCACCCTGACGTCCGAGGGGGCTGCTGCCGGCTCAGCACCCGCCCTTTTCTCTGCAGGGATTTGGAGGTAAGATATGAGAGTGCTGTCATTGAACACAAAGAGCTGCAGGTTGGGACTCCGGAAGACTTCCGAGGACAGCTCAGAGGACTCCACGTAGGAGTTGTCGTGGTTCTCGCTGAGGAGGCTGTGCAGAATGGCAGGGCCTCCACTGAGCGGGTAGTGGCTCAGGTGATTCACCAGGTGAGTCATCACCATCCGCGCTGTCAGAGGTATCAATTCTAAATTCCTCCTCCTTTTCTCTAAAACCATCAATGAAAAGATAACGGATCAGTAAGAGCAGCAAGAGGTAATTCAGAAAGAGCAACTGTGGATTTCTGTCCCTTTGCAGCTGCTTGCCTTAGTTGTCTTCCCGATCCTTCCGGTTCAAGGAACTATTTACAAGGGCTTTCCAAGGAATTCTACCTGTCCCATAGTTTTATTTTATTTACCACAACCCCCCAGCCGGTCCACGCTCTGTGAGCTCTCTTACCCTCAGCAACGGTGAGCAGGTTGCCCAAATCCGTGGAGGACTGGCACTGGGCTGGCTCCGAGCTCCTGACGTTGCCCAGTGGCAGAAACGGGTCGTAGTCACAGGAGGAGAGGTCGGCCAGGCTCAGCACGTAGTGGCTTTGCTGCGTGTACGTGCTGGAGCCGTTCACACAGCAGTGCAGGACCTGCCAGGGGACAGCGGGACACTGCAGCAGAAATAAACCCCACAGGACAGTCCCCCACACACCTGGCAGCAGTGCCCCTTCCTCATTCTGACTTTGTGAAAACCAGGACATGCTACAAAAACCACCTCTGGCCAAGTACAGCATTTTCAAATTAACACTCACCACCTGCACTGATTCTATACTCTAACAGCTCACTTAAGGACTTGTTTCGTATTTCAACAACCCACTTCAAATATTTCTGCAAAGATTATCTTCCCTGGCTTGTTGTTTTAATCATTTTATCGTTCTCTTCACCACCCCCTGTCTGTTCTACATCTCTAATCTTATCTTCTTAACGTTTTGCATTTGTACTTCTCACCTGTACGACTTCTGCCCACACTGCAAGAACTCATGATTTTCTAGAGCTTGCCAAAAGTGCTTCCGTGCCTACCAGGGTGTGTAAAAGGCATCTCTGAACATCCAGACACAGTAAATCCCTTTCCTTCCCATACTCACTCTGTAAATGTAGTCCAGTAAGGGGGCTCTGGATGCATGCTGATCTTCCACGGCCCCAGCAGACGCGGGCTCCAGCAGCATTTTCATGGGCAGTGCCATGCACCAGTCCAGCAGGCAGAGCAGCAGCGAAACTATGAACTGAACAAGAACGTGGAACACGGTGTTTAGGTACATTCTGTGGAATTCACCCAAACTTTGAGGCAGGGGTTGCAAAGTACAGCTCTGGTTCAAAGTGACTTCATTTCAAAAGCACCTCTAAGAGCACAAAGGAGGGATGGAGGCAGCTCTCATCAGTGACGCACCTTCTTATCCGCTTCCACGGAGGAGTACTCGGCACTCGGCAACAGGAACGCAATGGTGGCCACGAGGATCTACATCCAAACACACAGATGTCAGAAAGGCATTTAACTTCCCTCACTGTAAAGACAGAGTTGGGCTTCATGTGCAAAGGGATGGAAAAGGTTCAATTCCCTCAGGAGCATCCAAGTGCCCGTGTCAATCAATGTCCAAGGGAAACAGAGATTTACTGAGCGTTTTGAAAACAAGTCCCTGCAAACACGGGGGACACACTGCTCCTGGCACTGCAGCATTTACATCCCTAACCATGCCTGCAGAAGAAGGGAGTTAACAAATCACAGCAGCTCAAGGAAGGAATTAAAACAACTTTGCACATGATTTCCCTACAAACATTTTAGAGTCTGACGTACCTCAGTGATTTTCCGGCACAGGGAGGATTCGTACTCTTGAAGCTTTTGCCAGTAAGACACCAGCAGCTGAAGAACATCACAGGCTACCTGAGCAACTGGCTTATTGGAAAACTGGAAGAGAAAAGGTGATTAAGAGCCAAATAAAATATCTACATACAATACAACGCATTCAGTTTTTCTACATTTTAAATTATTTTGCATCTATACAAACAATAAAAAATATTAATGCTGCAAAACCACCTTGTCAGCATCAGGAACCAGCAGGTTTGATATCGTCTGTGATCTTAACTCAGTTTGCTGGGGAAAGGGTCTCTAGGTACAGAAGCACGCACCATTTTTGCAAATACTCGGCAGGTTTGTATGGGACACCACACCTGCAGACTGTGCTCCAGATCATCAGCAGCTCTTTAAAAAGTGAAAATGCAGTTTTTACACAGTGCTTATTGATTAGGGCTGGCCAGAGCAATACCTTCAGTGTCACACCTATGACATTGATGGCCTTCTTCACGTGGGGATGGTTCGTGCACTGCGTGAGCTCCTCACATATCCAGACTCCCAGGCCACAGATGGCTATGCACCTTTGGCAAAAGGAAGAGTGGCTTTGTCACAAGTTTTAGAAGAATATTTAGGGGGAAAAAAAAGGATAAAAAGAAAAAAATGCACAAAGATCTTTTTTTTCCCTCTCATGTCACAGGCCTGCACCTTTATGGTGCAGAGCGGGGCTCAGTTTCACAGGACCAAACCACAAGGCAGTGGAAACACCTCAGCTGGACAAGCACCAAAAACAAGTAGCAAGAAAGGTTTTCCAACTCAAGGACTGGATAATCTTAAAGATCTTTTCCAACCCAAACAATTCCATGATTTTCCCACTTCTTTTACTCAGTAATTTACCTTGCAGCTTCACTTGGCTCCTCTGTAGCATTCTTCAATAAAATATTTATGAGGCAATACTAAAATGACAAAATAAATCAGAATAAGCATGTTTGTCATGCATCTATTTTAAAGTTAATTTTTACATAGTTACAAGTGAAGTCACTTTAATCCTCAGCCTGTTCTTAAAGCATCTTTACCTCATGCCAGCTGTATTTTGTCAAGGGAGAAATACTGATCACAACTCAAGTACACAGGCCCTTGTGGACAAATTGAATCGACCTACAACTCATGAACTGAGGTGCAGGCAGCAAGATAGAAATCAATTAATTTTCAGAGTGGAAGGGTGTTTACAAACGATGAGTGGAGGTCACTTCACACAAACTGTAGTGTTTAGGTTTTAAGTACAGAAAAGACACTGTCCAAGGCCTGCTGAAGAAAGCAAGGCAAGACTGGGAGCCCAGCGTGCCATGGGGTTCCTGGATTCCTCTGGTTACCCAAATAGCAATACCCGTACACACCCCACACATCTCCTACAGGATGAGCTAATGGACACAGGTCCAACCAATGGACACGTTAAATACCACCTACACCATTTAATGAATTGGCCTGACAGGCAGCTGGCTGGAAAAACACGGCATCTGATCACAGCCAGCTCGCTCTCCTTGAAAATCCAACTGGAATTTGCAGAATCTAAGCTTTGTTAACAGTATGGCACATGCCAAGCAAAGCACATGTAACATGTGCAGCTGCAGGTTTGAGGAGAAGGACAGGTTCCTTTTTAACCAAAAACTGACAGTAAGAATGAAGTAACTGAATAATAAAAATAGGATAGGTTACCTAAGGATTTACAATGAAATGGGGCTTTACCTTCACATCTGCAGTTCCTGTGCTGATCTCACTGGCTTCTGAAATGGGCCCCAAGCGTGGGATTTCCCGGTAGGTATTGGGAAAGCACACGAGAGCACCAAGGATGGTGTGAGCTTCAGAACGGGGAGCCTAATGAGGGGTAAGCAAGCAGAAATATTAATTAGAGAAGCCATCATCCATGAGGATGCCATCAGCTCTGAGGTCAGGATGCACTGCCATAGTCAGTGTGCCGGATTCACAAGGCAGCACTGAAGTGTCCCAGGACCTTTTCCTTTTCTTTTACAGCTCCAGCAACAGCTGTATGAAGGCAGTGACCAACACACACCTTCCTGCCCGTGCTTTTTGCTGCTGTGCTGCTCTGCTCTCTTTGTGAGGCTGAGCTGCTCCTCCAGCAGGCACCTGGCCTGGCTCCTGAGCACATTCTACATCTTTAATACCTCCTCTGGCATTACCCAATACAACACTCTGGTATCAGCTGGAAGTACAGAACCACCTGAAGAGAAGCTGAGTGAGAGGCTGAAGCACTAATCCAGCACTGCTATTACATGATCCTGTGACACAGAAAGTGCACAGTGCACTCATACTGACTGCACAGATGATACCAACGTGCAGAGAGAGCCATACTCAGTGAAACCATCAAAAGCACCATGGCATAGCTAGAAACACATTAATTATCATGTAATGTTGAAAATACAAGAAACACCCAGTTTTATGCTTGTAGGAGAAATGGAAGGTGTTTTGGTTTGTTTCCTGCCACGGAAAATTGCGTATTCATTTCTTATTAGCACTTCAGGCTTTGGATCAATGATCAGGCTGACCAGACTCTTGGAGGGCCGATGGAAAAAAGCATTGCTGCGACAGCAGCCAGGAGAGGGTTCCTCACGCCTTGGCCTTTCGATGAAACCCCTTTGCAATGCCAGGGTGGCACCCTGTCCCACGATTTCCCACAGCAGCTGCCATGGCACTGGCCCCAGAGCCTCCCTGCGTGGCACTAACAGCTCGGTAGCCGCGCTCACCTCCAGCGTGTCCGCACGCAGCACCCTCGCTGCTGCCCCCACAAAGTCCCCGATCAGCATCGTGAACCCAGGCAAGCCCAGGAAGAAAAACCAGGGTGGGCAGTGCTTTATGACAGTGTTCAGGATATCCTGCAAGAGAAGTTACCCGTGTGAGAAGAAATGAGCCAAAACAAAAATAACCCACAGAAAGAGCCCAAAAGTGAAAGGGAGAGTTTGAGAAGATTTAACTTGGAGGTTCACCACCCCACACTAATTAAGGTGCAAATTCACAGAGTCCACGGGCTGTGTGTGCAAAATGTAATCAGCACCAGATGCATGGAGCAGCAGAAGTGCACTGGGTGTTTTGGTTAAGATTTCTACTCTTGAATTCCTGTTAAAAACCCAAACCCACAGCCACATCTCTCTCTGTGCCTAAGCACAACCATTCTGTTAAGTAAGACTTTGGACTCAAAACATCCAAACCTTTAATGGATTTCAGATGAGGCACTGCAGCACTTTAAAGGAGTGAGTTCCTAAATTGCTTCACTCAAAACTCTGTGCCACAAGAACACAAGCTGACCCCAACACCTGCTCCCTGTGCCCCGAAGGAATAGACCAGCACCCCCAGCTCTGCTCATCATCACCCTGTGACACAGAGCATGGTTGACACAAGCATTTCATCCTCAGTCCTTACACATTTCAAGTCTTCACAGTCTCTCCCAATCAAATCCAGGGCAAAGTTCCTGGATTTGAGTTAAGATCTTCTTCCCACAAGCTTTCAGCAGGTTTACAATTAGCCATAAAATCTACATAATTCTTACCTGCAACACTGTATTTGCTGAAGAGTTAGATCAGGCTATTTCTACACTGAGTAGAAAATTACTTTTCACTCCCTAAAATTTCGAAGAAAGGTTACAAAAGACTTTTCCATGTCCACCCTTATAGTTTTAGCATGTGTTAAGGAAGGTCTGAACTCAGGAGTCCCAGAACGTGACCACGTGCTCAATTTCTACAGCAGAAGCTAAAGCTGACAAACCCAATTTTCTCTATATGAAGAGATGCTTTAAGATCACCGCTGTTTTATCAGCCCTGCTAAACACCTGCACATCCCCTATTTAGTGTTCCACTGTTTTCAACACCAACATCTGATGAAATAACCGCTATATATTTTAAATAAATAGTATTAGTTTTAAACATAGTAGCAGATAATGCTTTCACTTTCCTGAATAAGCTAAAATGCCACTCGAGTTAATGTTTAAACTAGTTTTAATCACTTCCTTTGATACCTTTTAAGTCAATATGGGTCAATGCAAACACAGAATGCGGAGCAGATGGATGCAGCAGCTCATAAAGCGGGTGGTAAACTCACCGTCGGAGCAGAACAAAGGACCCACCTTTTTATAATTAAGGGCCTGATTAGCACAGGGGGCTGCTCGGCACAGCCACACCTGCACAGCAGGGCCAGGTACGGCCCAGGCTGGTCCTAATCTCGGGCAGCAGATGGGAGCACACGTCTGTTGACACGTGCCCCGATAAAGGAGCCCGGGATAACCTGGCCGTGGAAGCACCGGGACTGCTCCCCAGCGCTGCATTAACTCCTGTCCTCACCCCATCGCTCCCATCTGTCACACCCAGAGCAACGGTCACAGCCCCTGCACACAGCACTGCCAGAACCAGGAGAAAGATGGATCACACAACTGTCACCTCAATACAGGAATGCTGACACTACACACACATTCCAAAATGCTGGAGGAACGGGGCTGCAGGGACCTACTCGCTGCTTATGAGATATACTACTACCAGGGGAAAAAAAAAAATTCATTTTCCATAGTAAGAAACCTTTGAAAAATTTACTTTGAGAATTCCCTGCACGGGCTGCACGCTGTGACACGCACACAGGGCCTGGACCCAGCCACTCTGCCAGGCTGTTCCCACTGCTGGGGTTCATCTTGGGCATCCCAGTGGGCACCTGGGATGGTCTGAGTGACTTCACTTCAACTAAGACAAGGCAGAATATATCCTGGCTATGGAACTGTCCTTCTGCTGGATGTGCCTGCACAGCAAATGGGCAGAGCCACGCCACAGCAGCTCACAGGTGATCCCGCCAGGCTTTCCCCCCTTTCCCAGTGGGCACATTTCCCTGCACGAGCCAGCTCGCAATAAAACAGGATTTCAGGCAGTAATTCGGTAGCTTTGGGACCTTATCAGCAGAGTGAGGCTTGTGAGAAGGCGAGGGAGCGAGAACATCTGTGCTATCAGTGATACTGCAAAATCAGGTAATTCAAACAGAGCCCGGGCACTTCCTTCCCTCCCGAGCGCGCTCTGGAAATGTAAACTCTGGGCAGCAGCTCCAGCCTAGTCAATGAATCACTTTAATTGAATGCTATGTACACAGCAACTGGAAAACACAAGCCATAAGAAAAACATATGGTGATGGCCGTGGAAATTGGTTTACTCATTCTGCACAGTGTTGTTTCTTTACTTCTTTCATAATTGACCTTTAGAACGATAAATGTGTAAAATCATTTTGGTTTATTATGGCTCCAAACCTTTCAGCAATTACACAAAATGAAAATTTAAAAGGAAGTATTCATTCTGGAAGCATTTCCATTGTTTACATAATTGCACAGCTATAATTTAGTGTTCATGTTGTTAAAGAAAAGTGAAAAAAGGACCATTATGGACTATTTCAATTCAAAATGATGCTCTGTAGTGTTAAAGCTGGGGAGAGGGGGAGAGGAAGGGGCAATCACATGCATGTCCTTCTCAAATGCATTAACCCTATAAATGGCATCATATTTCAGTACAGGTTAATCTAGTAATCCAAATTATAAGGTCATAAACATCCACTGAGTAAGTGAAATAAATTTATGCAAGTTCACTGAAAGGTCAATTGCAGAAATATTCTTCACCTAATTTTTGTTCAAGCTTTTGCAGATTACAGGTGTAACCAAATAGCCTGCCAGCTGCCTTCCTCACGTTTCCAATTGTCTCTCAACAGGAACAACATGGATTTTTCACTGAAAGTTCACCCTGTTCCTCACTGAGAGACACCTCATTAGTGGCTGAGATTTACAGCACGGGAAAGATTATTAATTTACACAAGACTTAAGTGGTAAATCCTCCCTTTTCCTTTCTTACTTTAAAGGAACAAATGCTTCCCTTTACTTACTCCAAGTTTTCCTACCTACCATTACATTTTAATCAAGAGTTAATGTGTCAAAAATTAAAAATTAGTAAATAAAAATGTACAAAGTACATTTGACAGCCTCAGGAAACTGACGACGAGCTCCCGAGAAAGCTCCGTTCCAAGGTGCCAGTTAACAGCTGAGCTCCAAACGAGCTCCATTTGCTCCAGCTGAGGCAGCCGCTGGAATTCAGGACTGAGAGCAGTTCTTCTGGCTCATGCACACCAGGAGAGCAGGTGAGCACTCTCTGGACACGGGCACACAGGGGTGGGTGCCGGGGCCATGGCACTGCCTGCAGTGGATGTGACTTTGTGCCCCACACGGATCTCTCCCCAGTGCCTGCGGCAGGGACTGCTCCAAACTGTCCCCAGACAGCCCACCCACTACACACCAGGAATTGGGGTGGGATGGAAGCAATTCAGAAAGGGCAAATGTGTTAAAGTAAAATCAACAGAAGAGAACCAAACCACCAAAATCATTCTGGAACGTGCAGCTCCTACAGCTGGTGTGACCTGGCTCCCCCTCGCTTTCAGTCAATCTTCCAGCTATTTTCTCCAGCACTTCCCACTTCCCCTGCTCTGGGTGAGCAGAGGGATGTGAGAGTTCCTGTGAGACCCTGGCATTTGGACTTTTGTTTGTCCCTACTGGAAACATGCTGTCTGTTAACACTTTTTCAAAGCACTCAAAGCACATAATGGGGGCACACTGGCAAATTTTCTACAGAAAATGAGATAAGGGGGGATTAAAAGAGGGAGAAAATCACGGTAGCCATTGGAAAGAAGTCTCAAGAAGCTAAAATAGGGGAATCTAAGCCTTAATAGACTATATTAAGATGATTTCCTTTTAAATGGCAGCTTGGGAAAGAACCTAAACAGCTTTATGGTTTCTGTACAACTAAGGGTCCTTGTGTGCAACACCATAAGGCAGAAATCCGGGCAAGAAGTACCCATTTGTGGGGGACAAAAGCAAAGGTACTCATTTATTGTACCTTTAGAAGGCTATTACAGGTCCCAGTGACAGCCTACAGGCTGTACACTGCTCCTCACTGCTGAGGAACAACTGTACAGGAAGATAGAAAAGCTCACAAATACTTCTTTATTAAAAGTCAGACCAATGTTAACACAAACAATAATTAATGTGGCTTCTCCAGTAGCAGCTCCACTGTATTATAAATTAGCCATTTCCCACACCAAGAGCTCCAGCCAGTGTTTCTACACAAGCTTACACAGAGCTGCTGCAGCTTCCTTTCCATAATTAGCAACAGTGCATTTTAAACAAATAGAGGCTTATAGACACTAACGTCCACTAGCACATCACCACCTCCATTGACAGAGCATTTCATCCTCCTCATCCTTTCACTACTAAAGGGAATGGAGCTACAAACAAAGCTGTTAAGTGTGCTGGCTGCAGCCAGACTGGGCTCTGTGAGCAGGCCTGCTGCATGTGCTGACATTTAATCACCCAGGACATCTGCCAGCTCTGTTGGATTTGGGCTGGGTTTCTCTGCTTCCATATTTAAAGTTTGTTGTGCCCTTCACATCACTGAACTGAAAGAGACTGCAGTGTCCCCCTCCCTGACTGTTTGTTGTCCTCTCCACAGAGAATCCCTGAAGTCTCTACATTTTATTATGTTCCTAACACGTAAGCATCCCATTCCAAAGATACCCTGGTAAGTAAGTGTGATTGCACATTTATTAAAGTCGTTTGTTAAAACTCACTTCCCAAGTCAGGGTGACAACTGACCCATTGAGTCACTTTGCAGGTCACCCCTGAGTGCTGGGTGACCCCCTGGTGCCGGTGGCAGGGGACTCCGGGCACAGGAACTGACGCTCCCCCTGAACTGACAGGAGGGTGGCACTAAAGAAATGACACTGAACAGCTGAGGGTTTGAAAGCTGAAATGGTACTGAAAACCTGCCACCTCTTTTGCAGAGGTGAGAACTCCCCTGCACTGCACTCTGCTCTCAGACTGACAGTGGAAACTTAGGCAGAAACTCTCCCAGGAGAAGCCCCCCAGCAATCTCCCAGGATGATTTCAGTGCCAGAAGGACCTGACCTGAGGAATCACAATTACCTCAATGGCCACTTTTCTGAGAAGGGGCCTGAGTAGTGTTTGTAGCTTTCTGGGATTGTGTTTTGGTACTTTTGCTCTTCAGCAAAAAGGAGGAAGTCTATGGAGCAAGGAGATGCTTAGGGACTTTTTCAGGTGAATGAAGCAAAAACTACTGCTACAGCAAGCAGCCAGTAGCAATAATAAAATGGCAGTAATAAAATACATTTCCTTTTCCAGTTCAGGTATTTGTGAAATTTGTGCATTGCAATGTTAAATTCTGGGTTAATTTAAAAAGCTGTACTTATTGTCCGAATCAAAAGACACAGATAGTTGCAGTGATCCTCAGTGAGCTTCATTCCTTATAACCCAGGAAAACCCCCTGGCTCTCTCCAGCAGCAGAGCCATGCCACTGTGTGGAGCGGGGCAGGAGGAAGGGAAGCACCACCCGCAGATGGTCCCTTGCCCCCTGACCTCGGGCCCCTCCCTGGCTGGAGGCAATCCCAGCTCCAGACTGGGGCTCCGAATGATGCAATGGCTTCTCCCACCTGGAAAGGTGATGCAATTCTTGCAGAGAATCGTTCATTTCTCCAGAGGTGTTTGTTGTTAGACGCTGCCACACGGACAAATTAGCTGCAGCTCATTACCCCACTGTCTCCTCCGCTCAGCTAATTGCCACGTCCTGATCTCGGCGTGCCACGGGAGCCTCCTCTAAAATACACCCTCACACTGCTCTTTTCTGCACCCCACGAGACCAGGCTGCAAAGTTAGGCTGCACTTGCATTCATTTATAATGTACTCAAAACCGCATTGTTTTGTTTTTCTATCAACACCAAAAGCTACACAATACAGCAGAAATCTCCTATGCTTATGTCTTTAAGGGAGGAGTGAAAAGAGAAATATATTTAAAAAGCCGTTTCTGATGCAAAACAAAATACTGAAAATCATATTCAGGTAAAGAGGTTTCTGACTGCAATATTTTTAATTCTGTAGCCACCTAAGAAGCTGTTCCGAAGCAGTGGTTTCCCCATTAATGCTAAAAGTTGCACCAGTGATCCATACAGAAAGGAAATTCCTCCCTGAGATGCCTCCCCCCCTTCCTTCTGTGCATATTCCTTAAAAGTGAGAAATTTCTGTCTGTGCTTAGCAAACAAAAGCAATCTGTGCTAAAAAAATCCGCACCCAAGTTTATTTCGGTTTGCACTAACTGGAATCCTGGAAACCACGCTGGGATCCACATTCCAGCGATCCTGTGCCCTCTGTTAAAACAGGGTCCCACTAGTCTCAGCACCCAGCAAGCACTCTGGTGCCAATCACCCTGGAAATGCAGGAGCAGGTGTGAGGAGCAGGTTGCTCCAAGGCTGTGATGTGAGTGAACTCCTCACCCAGCTCCACAGCTAAGGAAAACAAAACGGGAAGGACAGTCACACGCGAGCAAACCTGTGGTCAAGTGTGCCACCAAGAGGCAGCACAGCAAACCCCAGCCAGCAGGGAGAACAAAGAGCAGCAGCACAATATCCAGGAAACCCCGCAGCGCTGTGCAGAGTCGAGGCTGCCTCCACTGCTCCCCTTCTCTGGCTGCTGGGTTGTTCCTCTGACCAGTGTGAGAGGGTTTATTGCTGGGGGGGTCAGCTCAGGGCTCTGACCCCAGCGGGTGCTCCCAGTCTCTTGTAGGGACAGAGGGGACTCTGCTGGATCAGACCAGAGTGAGAGGGAAGTGGAATGAGCTCTTGGTTCCTCTCAGGTGACACACAGAGTGACAAAAAGGGGAGTTCCCAATACATTTCCATTTTTCCCTGTTTGTGCTTTAGAAATGGCAGATACTCGTGTTTTTTTTATTAAGTTGAAGCAGCAGCTGGGACTCCTGGGATTTTCCAGAAGAAAAACCTTTCCTTTCTATTCTTATCTACCTAAAAGGAAGATTTTCCAAACACTCTAACATTTCAGGAGGGCAAATGAGGGGCAAGAGTCTGGTAACAATTCACTCCTTTTGTTTTCCATCTCAGAAATAACCAAACACGTCCGGTTTCCTAAAGGCACCAGTAATAATTCCCAGGGTATCCCAAGGGGTCCCAGTGCCCTCTGCTGCCACACCCAGCACAGCTTCAGCCCTTGGTCTCACTTCTACAGCTACAAAAACATGGAAATGTTTGTAGATGCTTTCTAGTTTATCTAAAGAGTGTTTCTTATAGTTTTTATGAGCACTGAGCTGTTTCTGTGGGCAATCATCATCTGACAGCTCAAGGGATTAAGTACTCTCCTCACCTCATACTGAATACTTTATTCCTCAGGCTAACCCAGGACCTGGGGGCTGAAATAACATTTACCCACACAAGTAGAACGTTCTGGGAGCACCTCTTGGCTATAGCAGTACAATAACCCTGTCTCAGTTCTCCCTTGCACCAGCTCAGGAGAGCTGGGATGACCCTTCTAAACACTGCCCGAAGGACTCTTTGTGAAGAGGGAGAGTCTGGAGGGGACGGCATTAGTTCTGTTTTTGTTCTGAGGATGTCCTTGCAGCCAACGGCCCAGGGTGTTCAGAAGGGCATGCTGGGAGCGATAACACGTAAGCTTTCATCAAGCAAAGGTCGTACCTGGTCCTCACTTGTCAAGCCGAGGCGCATCACGAAGTAGAAGTGGACGAGGAAGTCGGAGTTGGGCAGCACGTCCTGGCGCCGGGTCATCATGGCACAGAGCAGCCGGAACGCCTGCAGCTTGCCCTCCTTGTACTCGCTGGGCAGCGTGGCTGCCTGCAGACACACACACGGGGGTCAACACTGCCCTGCAGGGGCCAGCTAACACAGTGCTGCCCCTCCAGCAGCTCTGCCAGAAAGCAAAGCTGCTCCCTGTGTTTATTAACAGACATTCAGGCCCAAAGAGCCTCTGGAGGATGTTTGTCAACTTAGCCGGCAGTGATTGTAAACACCAAAAATAACACCAGAAAACGTGAGGATTTTGGAACGAACTTACCTTGAACAGCCACGATGCAAATATCCTGAGAGGAGGGATCAGGATGGGAGGAGAGGGAGTGGACTGATTGTCCACACTGATAGCAAGGTTGTCCCTTATCTGAGGGTTTGAACAGAAGAGTGTTAAGAAAACTGACAGCTTACTTTTCCAATGTTCTCTCTATCATACTGTTACTTATTATGTGTTCATGCACTATGCCCTGCACTACACCAAGTTCCTATTCAGCCAAAGCTGGAAAGCTTTTCTATGGTGCTGCTCCCCGGCCGAAGGAAATGTTACATGTTTAATGTTGCAGGCCTTTACACAAGCACCAACACCTGTGGTATTCTGTTCTACATTTCTGTGTTCTCTGCTACTCTTCCCTCAGCCCATTTAAGTGAGCCATTTCAATTCTCCTCTCACTGGACAGGACCATGCTCTATTACGTATAGACACTGGAAGCCAAACAGGATCAGTTTCCTTTATGACAGAACCCTCCCACGCCATGCTAATCCTCCAGATGCTGACACTGAATCATATTTAAAATATTTATTAATAGTTTTTACAACAAAAGAGAAGTCACTGGCATTACCTGTAAGCATCACATACCTTTGCAAGTTTATACCAGAGCTCATAAAGGTACCCAAAAACTTTTGCGTGGATTTTAGGTGACTGTATCTTGTTCACATCTCCAAGAATTCCCAAGATCCTCCTCCATAACACAGCAGCAGAATCAGGATGCCAACCAATAAGGCTTCCACCAGCAATTATGCTGCAGTCATCAGCAAGGAATTCACTACTGTCTGTAAATGTAAAATATTCCATTTCCATGAATTAGAAATGCAGTGTAAGCATAAAATAAAACAGGTCAATAAAACAGGAGTTTTAGCCCTTCTAACCAACTTCCATCTCAAAACAATTCTCTCCCTCAGACCTGTTTTTCATAGCTCAAGCTGCCCCTGATTCAAAGAAAAACAAGGCAGAAAATGGAGGCAGAGGGGCTTCACATCACAGTGCCACCGAGCAGGGCAGTTCCAGATCAGACTGTCCACATTCCAGGGGATTTTCAAGAGAGGCAAATGCAGTTCAATGGAACAACCATGTGCCCTGAGAGATGTATTCAATCAATAACTGGCTTTTATTTCTATTTCTAAAAGCCCTTCCTTCTTTAAGATCACACAGTATAGGATGACCTGGAAATGCAACTGAAGAAAGGAGTAAAAACTTGCAGATGAGGAGCCACGAGCAATGTGCTCAGGCATCACCACTCAGAGAGCAGCTCCTGAGACTGCAGTGTGCCCAGTGAGACAGAGCAGGGCTGGACAAGAGTGTCAGGATAATGGAATTGATATTCTGACACAGTAAGAAAGCAAGCCCTTACCCCACAGTGCAGAGCACATTTCAGTACAAGAGCTGCTGGCTGCTGTCCTGCCCGAGCACAGCCTGTCACAGGCAGGAGCACTCTGTGCTCCAGGTGGACCTGCAGCAGCCAACGTCTGCAGGGGAGCTGCAGGAAACCTCCACACACAGCAGGAAATAACTCATGTCCTCCCAGGATCCAAGGAAGGTTAGCAAAACAAAAACCATTTTAGATGGTTTTGTGTTTGCTTGAATTTATGTAAAAAAACAAACTCTGGGGGATTTTTTTTCCCTGTTATTTTTTTTCCCTCCTTGTAGCATTATGAAGTTAAAGTGCTAAACAGATGTTATTTACTAAGCATATTAAAACTGGGCTGTAGAAACCCCTCGAGACAGTGGCAGGCTGGCCCAGAGGCTCTGTGGGGGCAGTACCTGTGAGGTTGGCGGGCTCTGAGGGGCTGAGCTGCAGCCAGCGCGGGGCAGTGGGATCCACACACACCTCTGTGGCTGCTCCAGGATCGGGATCATCCTCGGCCACCTGCCAGGGCAGCAGCGCGATGTCCACGTCGGCACCGCCCAGGGACGCGTCGCTGCTCACGCTCTCACCTGCATGGCACAGAGCACACGGGCGTGGGCACAGGGGGCACCTCGGCACCAGCAGAACAGTGTCTCCTGCCTGCAACCACCACAGCTGCGATGCTGAGTTCAACTGCTGTGCTTTACAAAAGCACCGTGTTTCTGGGAACTCACTTTTTTCTCTCTCCCTGTAAATCCCATGGGAAGGTTGAAAGTCTGCTTTCAGATCTAACTCAGCTGTACTGCTGCTCCTTCGCAGTAGCACCTGCACAGAAAAAGAGTCAGCTCGGCTTTTTACAGCTTTGAGAACTACATCACGTTTTAGCAAGTCTGACACACACAGAGTTATCAGAAATTAATTACAACTCAGCCAAGATATTCTCATGGACATTCAGACTACCCGAGTGTCTGTAAGTGTCTCTGGGAAAACAAACTTTCCGTGTCAGTCTTCATCCTCCCTTTCTTAACTTCAGTTTACACACCAACAACCAGGACCTTTTACTTGTGTTTTTTCAACACACCTGAAATAATTCAAAGCTTTATAAAGCATCAAAAGATCTTTCAGCTTTCATATTTTAAAGACGAGCAGCCTGAGTCATTTATTGTTTTGACTGCTCATTCAGGAGTTGCCATTAAAAATGTATGAAGTGTGCCTGTCCTAACGTCAATTCACACAAACATCTGCCATGCACGGCTGGTGATAAAACTGTGCTGAAGAGAAGCATTCTCCCCACTACTTTAAACCATCAAACATTTATTCCAGTGTACTGTAGCTCTATAGTAGCCATGAATCATTTATATCTTAAAAGTTATGAACTTCTTGTTGATGTTTAATAATTTAAAAGAGCACAAAAGTCTTGCAGAAAACTAGAACTACATAAACGCACAGAAGCAGCTGACAAGATCAGGAGACACAAACTGACCACACTAAGCAGTACAATCAGCAGCTACAGCTCAGTTCCACACTCCACACCAGAAATGTGATTAATGATTTTTCACACTTTCGCTTCCCAGAGTTTCTAAATGCTAAAAGGCATCTGATTTAGAAATACAACAACCACTTTCTGGTTTGCCTTACTTGCTCAGCTTCATCCTCCTTCTTTGCATGTCCCTTATTTTCCTGAACTGATTTGGAGTCTGAAGTTGAATTACGAGAACTCCCAGCCTTTTTACCTAGAAATTGTGGAAAGTAAACGAGAATTATAGACATCTGTGGTACCAAAGTACATAGCAAGTCACATGAAGATTTCACTGACATGTCTCATGCTGAGGGAGGCAATACAACATTCACATGGGATACAAGATGTTTTGAGAAATCCTTTAGAAGCATAACAGACCTAGACAAGAGGAACAGAACTCGACTTGCACCTTGAATACACTAAACTTAAATGCAAGTCAGGTGAAAAAACGTTGAAGAGTTATATACAAAAATGTATACATTCCAGGTTTCATTTTTAGCCTCCTTGCTTTATAAAAGGTCATGTCCTGCAGCTGTGGCCTTGAACTTCTTAAAAACGGTTCTTTCAACAAGATACCAACTACATATTTACTAAGAAAACAAGATAAAAACCATTTTAGAGGAGAGCTGGAAACCACAATAAATAAGAGCAGCATTTATGAGTCTGAATAAGTCTCAACACTTTCTCTCCAGAAGTACAGTACTGCTGCATTTCACCAAAATTACCTTGAAAAAAATCAGATGGAATCTGATCTGCAATATCTGAGGTGCTGCTACTGCGAGTCAGCTGCTGCTCCTGGTCTGCAAATGGGCCCACAGCTTCTGTTGCTTCTGAATTTTCCAGCTGTTGAGATTCTTCAACTTCTGTTGATTTAATTAAAACACAAAATATTTGCAGGAGCTCAGGATTATACACATGTCTACATGTGTGAACTCCCTGTGTAAGAAAGCTCTCTGAAATAGTCACCTTTGCAAATATTTAAAATTCTTAAGTTTTACAAGTTATAATTTAAGCTTTATAAAATATCCTTAGGGAAGTTTTAAAGTTTAGAGAGAGATGCACGAGCAGAGTGAGAAGTAAGAAGTCTACACAAGGACAGAAATTACTTTGGGTGTTCACAGGGGGAAGGGAGGGAGGATGTGCCATGAGCAAAGCTGGGTTTCTCAGTGCTGGAGACCCAAACTGGCCCCTGTTTGTTCTGTAAATGCTGAGCAGGAGGTGGCTGCACTCCTGACTTTGCCTTCAGAAGGAGGGGAAGGGGAGAAGGAAAAAAGGCAACACCTCAGAGTGAGCAAAGCTCTGAGGTGCACATGACTGTGTGTACACACTGACTCAGGAGCAGTTTGGGAGGACAAACCCACTCATGTAACTGCAAATCAGAAAAAGAGAGAGAGGCATGAAAATTCCAATGAGAAAGTAACTTGACATGCCGGGGAAGGAGCAACAGGAACTCCTGGAATTAGGGAGCAACACAGTGCTTTTAGAAACGCACTTCTCTTGGCATTAGGGGAAAAAAAACCCCAAAACCCAAAAAGAAACCCGGTAATACTCGCATCAAGTGTGTTCCCATCCAGCAGTGTGCAAGTTTAACTACTGCTTTACTACTTAATAAACATGGCAGGTGTTTCAGAAAGTTATCTCACAGAGGCACATGCACAAAAGCTAATGCTTCCAGTATTTACTGACCCTAGAGTATCACTGTTGACTTGAAATTACTTACAGAAACAAATAAAAGAAAGCAATCAATGTAATTCACTGGCTGGAACAATTCCAGCATTCCCCCGAAGATAACTTGAGATGAAAACACACCAAACATATTTCACAGAGCAGGAAACCCTACAGAGCCATAAAGCAGCACACATAAAACTCTTCTTCTCTTGCTACTGCAGCTAATACCCTGGGTAGGACTCAGGAGTCCTCCCAGGAAGAGAAATTTGGGAAATTTTACTTTAGTTACTCGGGAATATAAATCTAATTGCAATTGAAGGTAATCTTTAATATTAAAATGTATTGCTTGCAGCGCTACAAACTGAGAAGAATCAACTGGACAGAAAGGGAACAGACAGACAGCAGTTTAAAAATATAAAGAACACTGATATAAAAGATGACTTTAAAGTACAGTACCTGACAGTCTGTGAGAGCAAGAAGTGTAAGAGATACCAGGGAAGAGAGAGCTCACAGTGTGAAGCAGAAGAGGTACACTTTTAGTAGCTGGCAAAGCCTCATAAAGATGGACACAGTTGCTGATAGACTGGCTTCGCTTAGCTTCCAGGGAAAAATAAAGCAATAATTATGTCAGACAAAGGAAAGAAATATTTGGGTTCTAAATGTCAAACACAAACAATGCTTTGGGATAAGAAAATTCCCAGCAACTTTTCCCACAAGATACAAGTTAATAATGTGCAACTGCATCTCTCACACTGAAAGGGCAATAACTAGGGATTTCTGAATCACAGCCAAGTGTGGAAGTGCCTTTAATTTGAACACACACAACTAAGAAAAGTCCTGGATCAACACTTCCAGGTTCTCCCTACTGCTCTAACAGGAGAAATGCTGCAGCACAGCAGACAAGCCTGTCCTGGAGCACAAACAGAGACCCGCTGAGTTTGAAAATAAAACAGAGAACGAAGTGACTCCATTGCTGAAGAGTTCTGTGATCCCAGCTGAAGGCTCTGGCTCAGTTACAGAGCCTGCAGCCACAAACCACTCTGAATGTCCTTCAAGTTCTCCTGGCAAGGACCACAGCCAGTTCAGAGCCAGGGAGGGAGCTGTGTCGCCACACACTCCAGCTCAAAGGCAGAGCCCAGTGAACTGGCACACAGGAAGATGCTACCAGGAAACAAAGAGAGGCCGGTTCAGGCTACTGAAACACTCCAACAAACAGGCACCTGGCCCATGGCTGGGGTCTCTGACATTCCCCCAGCATTCCTTACCCCGGTCTCCCTTCTCCTGCTTTCCTCTTTCCAGAAGTAAACAGGAGAGAAAAACCTCATCATGATAAGAAAAAGAGAGAAAATAAAGCAACTATGAAAGGATAAAACTGTGTATTAAATAGCTGGTTTATTATGTGTGATCTGTTATGCAACTGATGGTAACATGCTTTCTTATGAATGGATAAAAATAGCAATGTACTTCACAAAAACCCCTAACATGCACAGGTCCAAGTTGCAATTCAAAGTCCTGTAGCTAAAAGTTCACATTTAGAATTGCCCAAAGTACTCTGACTCCATGTCTCCCACCGGTCAAGACATCCAGGTGCAGGCACACAACGCCTGTTTGGGCAGGTAATTACTAGGTTGCTTTTGGCAGCAGCCACACCAAAAGGCAGATATAAAACTTGTGTTACTGAGTGTAGGGGTACAAAAGCACTCAGTTATGGTCTAACCTGTCGCTCTCTGACGAACAATATTTCGGGCTTTCTCAACTCCCGGGGCCCCAGAGGTTGTAGCGCTTCTGAATCTCATCGGCTCCACAACTTCAGGATGACTCTTCCAGCTTAATGAAAAAGATCTTCCCACCACTGCTGTCTTCTGAGGCTCTAAAATGCCACCTTAGGACAAAGAACACAACATTCTCTGGCACTGGATGCTTTGGTATGTATTTCTGCTGAGGGATGAATGGACTCAGACGTGACAAATACTAATACTTTCAACAACACAGATGAGTTTTTACTATTAATAAAAACCAATTGGTACTTCAACTCTGTGCCTCAATTTCAAGGTGGCACGTTAAGTGCAGCTAAAAAAATGCAAATAGTAAAGTTTATTAATAACACAGGGAAAGGAATTTTTACAGAGATGCCTGTGACATTCTATAGCACAGGAAATCACCTTTCATTTCTGCTACACAGAAAGCACTGACTGTAAGCACATACTCGAACCTCAACAGCTCCCTATCTACTCTTGACCCCAACTACCTCTCCTCCTCAATGAAGAATGACAATACAGAAATCCAAAATGCTTCACATTTGATTAAACAGGTTCTTACGCTAGATTAGGTAGCATTTAATGTTAGATTAAATTCATTTTAAAAATGAAATATTTAACTTGTTTGATGCAGAAAGCACTGAGCACACAGGCTGACCTTTTCCCCTCTGCTTTTTTTCCTTCTGCTCACTGAGCTTGTCCAAGGGCAAGTTGGTCATTTCCACGCCGTACACGGTCCTGGCCAGCACTGCTGTCAGCGAGTCCATGATGTTGGCCCACTCGTTGATGAGCTCCTCCCAGTCCGTCAGGGAGGACAGAACGCTGAGCAGCTCATCCCACAGCTCCCGAGAGATGTAAACGCTCAGGTTCGCTCGGATCCAAGCCACAATCAGGGTCTGAGGGAAAACACACAAGTGGCCGTTCAGGCAGGTCTGACAAACGAACTCAGCACACAGTCTACAAAAGAATGACTTGTAAAACAGGAAAAAAATCCTCCTTCCCAGTAATACCAGCAGGTTTCATAGCACTGTGCAGCAGCACTTAGCTAAAACCACGGGCAATCCTGATGAGCAAACACAAACCAACCAGCCCCACTCACTCACTCGGAACAGCAACCCAGCCATGCTCTGGGCAAATGTGTCCTTTGTCTGGTTTTCTTTTGGCTTCTGCATCACAGCTTCTGTTATTCTGAGGAGTATCTGGAGCATCTGTTCCCTGGTTCCAAAACAAAATTGCACATTTGTTCACATGTTCTACTAACTGAACTTTTTCCTTAATTCTCCAGCAAGCCTCATTTATTGACAATACAGTCACGCTTTGGACTTCACAAATCATTGCAAAATAACCCTAGCTATTGGTTGTGGATGTAAAAAGCTCATTTTTGAGGTGAAGATAGGAATGGAAATACCAGCCAGAACCTTGAAGTGAAGCAGTACAATGATGCAGGCTCAGCAGGTTCTGCCATCTCTCAAATCAACCCAGAGGCAAGCCTCAAATGTAACTTAGGTAGCCAGGTCTGCCCCTGAGAAAGCCAACCTGTTCCCTACCAATAAACCTCCCTGAAAGTTTAGATGTTGATAACTTCCTCTTAAATGGTGCCACATGAAGCTTACCATGTCTTCTTATTCATTGACAGCTCCATTATCATGCGCCGGAAGATACCGAGAACAGCTTTGCAAGCATCCACTTGCTCCTTCAGCAGCACCGGGACCTCAGTGCACGGCTCCAGCAGGAAAACATTCGCCGAGTTTGTCAGGAACACCTTCAACACAGGCATTGACACTCCATTCACACAGGGTCAGCAAGGGAAACAGTCAACACTTACAATAAAATACTTGTCCTCCTCTAGTTAAACCTTTCCCTTGCTTTGGGGAAGTTCCATGTGTTAGCCATCACTTTGTTTTTCTGCATCATTCCAGGCAGCAGCCACGTGCCACCACAGACCCCCCAAGGCAGGCAGGGCTCAGTATGGGGCTTGTGGGTGTCTCTTCTGTTTGGGCAGGTGAGAGGACATTCCTCCAGCCACTCATTTCCCGCCATGATACGCTGGAACAACTCTAAGGTAAGTTGTAGTGTGAGTTACGTGACTAGGTAAGTTACAGCCATGTCCCCTTCCCACACAACACACCTGTAAGGCAGCCTGGGCTCCAGCTTTAACATCTCTGTCCTCATCTTCCAGCACACATCCCCTGCTGACAGCGCTGGTGAAAGAGTACGTCCTGCCCCAGCTGGAGGAGCGCTTGTGCCCGGAGTGCTCTGAGGAAAGCTGCCACAAACACAGCCCGGTCAGTGACAGAGCACAAAGGAACGTGTCCACACGGATCAAAACCAGTTAAAAGGTCAGCAGCAAAAAAGGGGAACTGTCACAGCCTACATTCATTTCCTCAAGGAATTACTATCTGAACAAACAGGCTGTATATGGAATTTAAAGGCTCATAAAAGTTTCAGAAGGTATGTTATTTACAAGATTTCACATCGTGTTCTGTAGTCACTGATTGTAGTAACGTTCAAGTCTGGCAAAACTCTAAATCCTCTACAAAAATAATCTGCTGAAACCTTATAATCCTCGCTAGGATTTACAACTCAAACCTCTTCCTCACTACAACAAAACATCCCTTTAAACAGCATCGATAGCGTCAAAGAACTTTTACTGACGCTTCAAAACAGTGTATTAAAAAGATGAGGCACAGAAATTGCACCTACACTTACATTTCCTAGTGCTACTGGACAATCAGTACCTATTTAAATTGTGAGTCCTTAAATAAAAGCATTTTTTAACCTTTATTCCCCACACAGTTTGAGTTGTTACTCCTTTACAAAGCGAGGTGAGAACTTAAGCCCTGCACTGTGGGCGGACAGAACAAAGTAAGGAACAGGGATACCATACATGTTTACCGTCTGTTTGCACTGAGGAGTCTTCCAGCTGGACAACAGCATCCTGGCTGTCCTCCTTCTTGTCTGGCTCCTCCATGAACACTGGCTTCTCCTGCAGTATCCACTTCTGATACACCTTCACCACCTTCCGTGTTGCGGAGACATCACAAGGCGGCAACAAAAAAGCCTATAATGAGAAGTTCACTGATTTTACTCTACGTAGGACACGGATGTGATGCACATAAACATATCCCCCCCCATAGTGCTCATCTTTGCTCCCTGCAATTCTGGAAATCAACACAATGAGTTTGTTTCCAACACACTACTCAAGATGTTATCTGGGAATCATGCTGGGAAGATGTTCTCTTCAAGGGCTTACACAGGCCCGACTGGCTGCTACCCCATACCTCTGCAGGTCTTAGGAGACCAAAAAAAGTATAACAGTGACACAGGACCTTTGCACTGCAGTGAAATCAATGTCTGAAAATGTCATCTGGTACCAAAAAAGCATATTTTGCCAAATAAAAAATTATATCAATATGCATTATATGACAAATGCATGGAAATAGATGTAAATACATTTTTCATACTAAAAATAATCCCTTTGAGTTATGAATAGATTATCACTCTCCCTGAAAAACAGGAGCAAAACCTACAGCATCTCCTATTCCCAGTTTAGCTGCAAACGCATTCCAAAAGGTACTGCTCAGGCCGGGGATCCTTTGCATCCCACAGCACAACCACCTGAAAGGGTCTGGTGTGATCAGCATCACGTTTGCCCAGTCACCAGAGAGCAGCCTCTCAGTGTTCTCCTGACAGCCACAACACTTCCCTTAAAGATTACAACTCCCCAGCAAGCAGCCCTGGCAGCGACCTGTCGGAACACCTCGTTGACGAAGTTGACGTAGCCGCGGGTGGACAGGAGGATCCTCTGCACCATCTCGTAGACGCCGCGGTGCTGCTCGTCGATGCTGCACAGGCTGGAGTTGCTGAGCCTCCTGTCGGACAAGGTGCTGCTGTTGGAGTGGCTCCCGTCCTGCTCCTGCGCCGCGCCGCCCTCGGGCTCCACCGCCTTGTCCTGGCTCACCCCCACCGTCTGCACAGAGCAAACACCCCCGTGAACAGCTGCAACAGCACCCACCCAAGCGCCCACCCAGGCCCCAGGATGCTGAGGCACAACTCGGGATGCCAGTGCACTGCCGAGCACAACACGCTGGGAGCCGGCACTCAGGCAGGCAGGCAGTCTCCTGCTGGATCCAGGAAGGACTCTGGTCTTGTACTCCACAAGCTGTACCCTCCCTATGGGCCAGAGCGGCTGATTGACTTGTCCACTTCAAAGAGCAGGGGTGCAGGGGTGGGAGTGGAAGAAGGAGCAGACAGGAAACTGGAGAGTCTCTTAAGAGAAAAAGCATCTATTTCTCTAAAACTCACTGGGAAGTCCCTAATCCTAGAGAAGGCTCAACCAGCAGTTTGAAAGTGAAATACTTCTCTGATATCTCTTTGTAAACAGCTGCTATAACCAAGATAAAAACAAAACAGCTTTTGAAGTCACTGGGAGATGGTCCATGGCACAACTAAGGATGACAGTTTACAGAGGAAATTCCAGAAGTCTAAATATAATACTGCTGGAGCTGATAATGCAACAAGCTATGAGGAAAATAAACTCCTAGTGAATTACTGAAGGGCTTTGCTTGGAGATTCCTTCCCCCATCAAAGGAAAGAAAATCAAATAAGTATCTACATCATTTATTCCCTATGGGGTAGCATTTCTTTGTGCTTCGGCTGTCAGTGCAGCGAGATCACCCTGCAAGGTTAGCATGTACGTAAGAAAAGAGAGGCAAACTCTGAAGCCCACCTGAATAATTTTAGGGAGCACTTCTCCTCCATTTTTCGTGTTCTGAACAGCAGTTAAATATTTCTTTTCAAGGAAGAAGGTAACAAGCCACTTAATAAAAACAACTCGAGCTGCCATGTACGGGATTTTCGTGCTATAGACACTTTCATTGTTGCGTGTTGCAGTGACATACACTGGCCTCGGCCTGATATCAGGAATATCTGGTGAGAGAAAAAGGAAACATCGAAAGAAAATGTAATCTTCAAAACTGTAACAGCTTCCAAACTCTGGTTAAACGCATTGAACACGTCACCAACATTTTCTCCCTGTGAATAACAGATGCAATGACTGACTGCTTTTATTGTAATAATGCTTATATTCTATCATAACTTATCACTCCTAAAGAACAGCAAGAACATAACAGCACAGATCTTCCCTGGAGGTTAACACTTGTATCACACAAAACAAAGAAAGTCAAAGAGAAGGGTTGCAAAAAGAAGGGTAAAATCTGAAATAGATAACTCCTCCTGTTACAATGTAATTTCATTCTATCAGTTTCACAGAGTGTCTTTAATAAAGTGCAGAGAGAAAGAGAAGATAGTTCTGGTACACACAACAGCACAAAGATGAAGATGAAAAGGATTCTTAGTGCATCAGAAAGAGAAGTTCACACACTGAAATAAAAGACAGCAAACACATGGGAAGAAGTGGAAGATTTGCTGAAGGGAGACAGGTTGGGTCACAATTCTTTCAGGTGCTTAGATCTAAAAATCACTTGTACACAGCTGAAAAACACGGAAGGCCAGGGCTCTAGGGGTGAACAAGAGCCCAGGTGGCACTGAGGTGATTTTGGACACTAAATATTAAACTATAAAAACAGAAGGTAAGAGTCAAAGGGAGGAGAAGGATGATGAAGAAAAGGCTGCACTACATCAGGTGAGGACTAACACCACTGCTCCTATTGACTGTACTATGTAGTTTAGTACAAAATTAGGAAAACCTTGTTTCTGAAATAACATGCTTTTAATCCTACAACTGCAGAGGTACATCTCAATTTTCTTTCAATTGGCTCTTCATGCTCATTTTCTCTCCCATGAAAAAAGAAGCCAAACAAGGGTAACAAAGTCAGCTACTCCCCCACACCTGGACAGCTCCCTGGTTCCCTACAAACCCATCACAGAGCACGTTCTGTCTCCATTCATTATTATCACAGAGCCATGCTCACTCCACACAAATGCTGTGCCACTGGACACATCCCTAGGAAAGGGGAACTGGCCAGGAGCAGCAGCACCTTCCTGCACTATCACAGCAAGTCAAAGGTTGTGCTCAAAGAAAACAAGAAACCAGGAGGAAGAATCCTGATCCAACAGAGCTGTGCTGATAAGCCCACAGGTACAGAGATGCTGCCAGGAACAGTCACCTGCTTCTCCAACTTCAAAGACAAACCCCACAACTTACCAAGCACAGGTTTGTAGAGGTTGGTTAGCTTTGTAAAAGATGGAAACAAGTGAGGAAGATAGTATTTTCTAAACAAGGTAAAGAGAAACTTAAACCCAGTGTCTTGGTTCTCCTTGTTTTTCCACTCCAAGCTTGCAGCCTGTGTCATGGAATTAAAGAGAAACAAAGAAAAAACTTTAAGTTAATGTGTTATACTGACAATCATCCTGCATTGCACACAAAAAGTAAGCAACTACACTTTAATAAGAGACAAAAAACTAGCACAGTCCTGAAACACCCTCGACAAACTGCAGTAAGAATATAAAGCCAGAATAACCTCAGAGGGCTCTGGCATCCCCAAGACAGTGAGCTCAGCAGAAGCCAGTGTGTTTGTGCTGGGAACACAGGAGCTGTCATACTGGGTGTGCTTTTACCAAATTTGCTTCTCACATATAAATTTTGACAAAGTCACTCTGGGCTACACTTCTATCAGAAATATTTTCTTCACCAGAAGCATCCTCAGTGCCCACATTTAATATGGCTAAACACACACGTGCTGTTCTGCTTTCACAGTATTTTCCCTCGAGAGGGAGGAGATGACATCTCAGCTTGGTTACAATGGCACTCTCCCGTTCCTGATGGCCAACACACGGACTTTCAAGGTGCTCTTCACCAACAGTTTTGAACTACGATTCCTTGGAAGAGCATGACAGATTTTGACAGTGAGTTACTCTTTTCATTTTAAACACCTTCAGTTGAGAGGAGCTGCACGTGGCTGACACGGTCTATGTGCCAGAGGCGGGACCGGGCTCTGCTCAGGGGTGCCCAGCAATGACACAAGAGGAATGGGCAGGAACTGATGCCCAGGAAGTTCCACCTCGACACGAAGAAGAACTTACCTGTGCAGTGACTGAGCACTGGACAGATTGCCCACAGAGGGTGTGGAGTGTCCCTCACTGGAGATATTCCAGACCTGCCTGCACACAGTCCTGTGCCCTGTGCTCTGGGATGACCCTGCTGGAGCAGGGAGGTGGGACCAGCTGAGCCACAGTGGTCCCTTCCACCCTGACCCATTCTGGGATTCTGTGTCAAACTTGCCCTGCCCTGCTTTTGTAAAATACACGACTGCCGAGGCTTTGTATCATGTTATTTGCGATGTAAAGAAGCATCACAAGTGTGATGTAAATAACATGACATACTACATTCTACCCAGGCAGAAACTTTCTTAAAGATGCAGATGTGATCTGTGTTCTGGCTCCAAGTGATCACTGCACTTCCATCAGATTCCTCGAATCTCAGTTTGTCTGCAGCAAGGATAGTGCCCAGCTCTGCTCCCCACTAACGAGCAACACAAATAAATGTGGATGAACCGCTGTGCAATTGGATTTACAGCGTAGTCAGGTTTGTTTCGATCCCAAACATGTAAAAACAGTACAAAAGGAAGACTAAAATCTTATTTTTAACTGGAGTTGCGAGATTCTGGTATGTAAAACAAAGGGTGCTGTGGAGGAAGCTGATAATTCCATACAGTCACTTTTCAAAATTAAGCATGTATTCAAGATAACAAAATCCCTTCCAAATATCACTTTGGCCTTGCCTTTTGATATTAAAAAGTGTGTGTCAAAGTATTTAATTATAATTTATTTTTTTAAACTGAGCTCTTTAATATTCATTGTCTATGCAGTTTCCACTTTATTTCAAATACTGCTTTATTTGTACTCTTTAAATATATACATTATCTTAATTTCTTTCCTGTACAGATTCATCTGATCTACTTCTAATTAAATTTATGTACATGTTACTTGCATCCTTTAAAAAAAAGAAATTTTAGAAGCCATCTCTTTTTATCTCTTCCTCCAGTGGTCCTTTACATTTCTTTTCATCTAGGTATGTGTCCAAAGAGAACAAATCTCATCTTTACCCCATATTATTTTTCTAAATGAAACCACAAGCACATATAATAGTCAGTTTCCTGCAAGTTTGGATAACATTCATTCACTCTTATCACAAACGTGACAAACTTCTTACTTTAACCAAAGTTGGCAGAAGGAAATACCTTTGGGTTGATTTTCTTTTCAAAAACAAGACTAATAAAGTGCAGCTTCTTTCAGGAGAGGGGCAAAGCCAGCTCCGTACAGATACAGTGTAGAATTCACATTCTGTAACCAGCACATACCCCAGATATGACTAGTTACAAACACACATCCTCCTCACCTGAATTACCATATATTTTAACAGGAGCTGAAGAAAATAGCAGGTTTGGTCTTCAGCAATTTTCTCTCCAGAGACAGCTGGCAAAAGCGGGGTTATTTCCTCTGGAAAAACCTTAGCTAAAACAAAATGTTCCAAACATAAACGTGAAAACGTGAAAATATTGAAATAAAAGAATTTTCCATGAAAAGATAAATTTAAAATATCCATTAATGCACTACTAAGCTGTACAAAACCCAAGTCCAGTAGCTGCTTGGCATTTCCCCAAGTCCTACCACATCCCATTGGGGTGGCACCGGTATCTGATTCCCTGTGGTGTGGAAGGACTGACAGCAGCAGCCACTGCGGCTGAAGCAGCGAGCTGGAAAGCTGCACACCTGCTCATTGTGCAGTAACACGTTCCTACTGCTGCCCCTCAATGAAACATGGCCAAGCTGTGACCGCCGCGGGTGGCAATGCCAGGCTGTGCACAGCTGCCACGAGCAGGGCAGCTCGGCACATCTCCCCCCCGCTGCAATGACGGGCAGCGCACCCGTTCCAGGCACTGCTCCCCCACTCACCGTCGGGCGGGGCCGGGGGGCTGATGAGGCTCTCCAGGGTGCAGGGCCCCCGCGAGGACGCCAGCGGGGGGAAGCCGGGCACGAGGCAGGCGAACAGCAGGATCTGCTCCTCCCCGCAGTTTGTCTGGAGGGCTTGGAGCCAGAGCAGGAACAGCCGGATTCCTTCACATCTGATCTGAGAGGGGATGGGTTTGTGGAGAGAGAGCAGAGTCAGGGCAGTAACGTGGTGAAACGGTTCAGAACACGTAGAATGAGAGCTTTCAGCCCAGCCAGGTGCTAGGAAGCCTCTCCACCATACCAAGGGTGTCCACAGTATTATTTTAATCCTAGGTTTAATACGGTACACTTAATGCTAAAGAGAGCTGAAGGAATGAAGCATTAAGCAATATCTATTAATACCTTCTCTGGGTAACTTTACAAAGGTCACTATAGCAGCAAAATAACTGAAGACAAATGTTAAAATAATCTAGGATCACAATAATAAGATTTATGATTAAAAGGTTAGTAAAATTACAAAGCCTAACAATCTGAAAACCACTGATACTGGAAAGCTGCAGAGTGATATGCTTCATAAGAATGAAAGTGAAAAGAAATATGAAAACAAAGAAATACCTTGAGAGAATTTCCAGTGTGCAAAAGTTTCTTCAGAATCGACCCTGGATTAGAAAAGTTAAACAGACTATCAGACACAAAGATGGGCGCTCCCACCTCAAGGTTTTTTAATACTCCTCCAGAAAAGGCTAGTTTAATGCCTTTACTCTGGGGCCACTGCACTGGGTTTTAAGACAACTGGGAGGTGGGGGGGGGAATCCAAAGTAAATCTGGTTACAATCACCATCATCATCAGTGGAGTAAGATTTACTAAGGTGTGTCTTTCCAGTATGGTACTGCGGGTTTAGTCAGATGACAACGTCTCAAATTATTTTCATAAATACTAAGATTGTGAATGATGTACAGGTTCCTTCCCTCCAGATTTCACCACTTCACAGTAATAAATGGAAATTAGTAACATGTAGAGAAAACATTCATTAATGCAAAAAGGAAATCCCAAGGCACAGCTGTAAAAAATTGCTCAGCCAAAAATTTATCCCAATATGGTCACCCAAGAGAAGTATAAAGAATATGTCAGCTACAAAACAACTGACTGAAACCAATTTGCTCTGGACTGGCTCAGCTGAACCGATATGAAGTGGTCAGGCAGATGTCTCCTCTTATTTTTGTCACTGCTGAGTGGAAATGTGACAACAGCCCTTCCTTGACCTTTAACTTCCACTCATTGTTCTTCTGCAACAGCAATTCCTTGTTCTGATGACAAACAAGGCAGCTGGTGAGACAGTGCTGGGAATCAAACCCAATCACAACAAAAAAGTCCTACTCTGAAGGAACAGAACCCTTCTATAAAATTTACTTCAATAAGCAGCAAAACAAAATCTTGGGACCGCTTTGGCAGCAGTTCGAAGGCACATTTTCTGCCGCCTGTTCAGTGCCCAAGTTTTACAGGATGAATTTCCAGGAGGCAGAGAGGATCGAGTTCCACACAGCATCTATCCCTGGTGGGATGGACTGGAAGAGGCATTTCATGTGCAATCGCTTGCAAAGACATCCTGCTGCAAATCTGCAAGTCACATCCAGATGCACAGCACTCCTGACTCCCAGTGTTTGGAGTTGGTCTGTGAATCTACAGGGAGACCTAAGCAGGAAAAGGTGCGCTGGTTTAAATTCCCCTCATCCTGACAGCTTCCATCAAATGGAAGAGGAGAAAGGGAAGAGGGCCAATCCAAGAAGATAAAAATTGAAAGAGCATTCATGCAAAATAAAAGTGAAGCAGGCAATCCCAAGCAAGGGACACAGATCTGTTGTAGCAGGCAAAAATGTTTTTCCATGTGCTTTGGGAATGCTGAGCTGCAAGCCTCCTATGTGAGTACTGTTTGTGTGGGCAGTACTGAGGGGATTCAGGGCTTGTGGAACCAGGGCAGTGACTAAAGAAAATATTGATTTTATTTGCACTAGAATGTTTTTAAACCATTTCTTCTTACCTATACTGCGAAAATGCCATCGATAAAAAATCCTCTCAGGCAGTAGCTGCAATATTTTCTGCAGGAAACAAAACTAAATAGTCAAATTTTCCATAATAAACCGGGTCATCAGAGGATATACAGAAACAAATACACATGACACAAACGAAACAGCAATACATACAAAGAGAGTACAACAGAAAGAAATGCCCATCACGACAAGGACTCCTGCCCACCACTTTGCTCTCTGGTTGTGGAGAAAGACACTTGGAACGGTCCTGAATAAATCCCAGGACACAGTCAGGAACCACTTTCCCTTCCCCTTGTGTGGCAGACCCCCAGCTCTGCCAGTGAAGCGCTCAGACACTCCGAGCACTCTCCTGTGCTGCCACTCTCCTGGGCTGTCCCGGCTCCGGTTCCATCTCCCGGCTCCGGGCTGTGTTTCCATCAGCTAATGGGCTCTGACCCCCGGCTGAGCACAGCGAACAGCGGGGCAGTTCCTTTTCCTGAGAGCTCATTTACCTGTGCTTTCAGCTGCTCAGTGAAACCGAGCCAAATGACACAAAGCCAGACTAATTGAATTGCCAGCACAGGCAGTTAATAAAGCACTTAGGGAATAATCCGTGGTGGCCTGTCTCTGGAGCTGAGGACTGCTCCTCCCGGAGGCAGATCAAACTCAGGCAGAGGCTGTAGTCAAACCCATTCCCCACAGTTTGGTTACGCTACAGGGCACCCACAAAGCAATTTAAGCACACGCTTAAGTGCTTTCCTGAACGGTGTCTTATCATCTTAGTTGCAAAGAACACTTGGGGCTTCCAAATGCCTTTTTTTTCAGTTCAGTGGATGGTAATGCTCTTAAATAAGCTGGATAAATCAAAACTATTTGGGGATCTTACTTGAGTAAATATGGCTTTAACAGGACTTTAACAGCTCCAAGACACCGCTTTCTTTTTTAAACTGCTGGCAGCAAGGACCAGGGCTCGGCAGGCAGGGGAGGCAGTCGCAAGGACAGCTCACCTACCACTGCTCGCCTGGCCAAGGAGTGACAGCGGACAGGGCTCCACACAAGTTCCACAGAAAAACATGTCTGTATCTTACACTCTTTCACCCATTGAAATATAGAGCATAGAAGATACTATTTCCCCATTAAATGGGGAAATACTAATTTCCCCATTAAATGGGGAAACTAGTTTTCAACATCTACTTTTGGAAATCAAATTAAATCAAACAATGTTATAAATGACTGACAGAGTTCCTCGTGCTATCAAACAAAAATCACTGGCACAAACTTCTGCACAACAAAGTCCCATTTTCAGAAAAACACATGCAGGATGCAGAAATGAATGGCAAGTCATTTGAGCAACGGTGAGCCATTGGTTGATGTTTTGCACACCAAGCTCACGAGAGGAAACATCCCAGCCAAGAAAGCAAGAAGTGGCACTGTGGGCAGCCCTTGGGAGCTGGTTGACACGGGTCAGCACTGGTGCTGACAGCAGTGTGCCTCAGACATGGACAGACTTCTTTTCTTTGACAACAAAGTGCTTCAGAAATTCTGTACAACACTCAGAATAGTCTTTTTGGAAAGGGACCATTCCCTTCTCCATGGCAGAAGATGGAAGTCATGACAAGTTCAGAGATTTAGGGAGCTAGAGCTCAGGTCACAGACGGGCTGCTCCTCCTCCACACCGTTACCAGAGCACGTGCTCCCCAGAGAGCACCGGGCATTTCTACAATTTAGTCAGAGTAAATATGCAAACCAGGCACTCCCGTCTATGTTCCCAGAGTATTTTGGTTTGGGGTTACTGCCCCAGCTCCCTGCCCAGGGCAGCAGGTGGCAGCAGGGACCGCAGGAGCAGGGGAATCGTGGCCAGAGGTCTGGCTCCCCCTCTGTGGGCAGGAGGAACAGGCTTGGCATGAAGCATCTGACTGGTTAAAAATGAGGCCATGACTCACACTGGGGCTTTTTCCCTGTTAGTTAAGGACCAGGCTTCTGCCAATCAGATTACAGGATCCATGGACAAGGAGTTATCATTATCCATCCAAACGTTGAAACACTGGCAGCCCATCACTCCTCAGGACACTTTCTGCCATTAACCTTTACTTAACTTGGCACAGGGCAAGAGGAGCTTCTCACCTAACCCAGGAGCACCCCAAGTCCCCACTGAAGCAGTGCCACTCCGTGTGGGAGCTGGGTCTGTGCCAGGCCCACCACACACCATGTGCCCAAGGCATGCAAGGAAAAAGCTGCAGGAAACAAACACTTCAACAAACCAGCAACAAAAACTGGGCTGGATTCAGGTGTCACAATACACTGCAGGGATGAGCCTTCACACTTTGCACATTTATCATGGAAAACCAGACAAAAATCACACACATTTTGTTTCCATTGTTTAAGTCCTTTACACAATTTCACCTGAATTTGAACACAAAGTTCACTTCCAGAGAGTAAGCTAGGACAGGTGTGAGCTGATAAGGTAAAAGCTGCACAATAAAGACCCGTTCAAAAAAGAACTTAAATTCACTAACACTCAGATGTGAAAGTTAAGGTTGTGCCCAGAGAAAGCCTGGAAAACTGGCTGTTGCAGATGATGACGACAAAAGCAAGCTTAAACTCAAAACTGCACAAAGCTGGGAGGGTTGGGGCAGAAAACAACACCCTTACTGTTCTTTTTGCTTTACAAAACACAGAATCCAACACCCTTGTCAGGGGACTGAATCAAAACAATTCAAGGGTTGAAAACAATAGTACAGAAGCTACCATGTGAGGAAAGCTTCCATATCCCAAAATCTTTCTGTATGGCAAAAACTTGAGCCATTAAGCTATTTCCCACGAGTTCTTATCAGCATCTCAAAACTAGGAAAACAATAAATGCATGTATGTTGAAAAAACTGCAAAGATGTGATTAATCACCTGCATGGTCCTACCCAGGAACAACCAGAGTCATTGTAAAGAAGCACCCCAGACTGCTGATGTCTCAGCTCCCCACTGCAGACAGCACAGCTCTGCTGCAGAGCACAGGCAGTATAAATAATACATAAATATAAACTCAGGCTCCACAATTGCTCCTGCAATGCCAAAACACGTTACCATGGTTAAACCCCACACCTTCAAACACAAGGTACTGAAGGGGACGAGTTGACCCACAGTCCCAGCCAGCACAACTTTTAACTGGTGATCTTTGCCTGTGAGCACCGGGGTCCCCAGACTGAGATGGGGTTGGAGTGCCACATGAGACAGCACAAATCACAAACACGCTCCAGTTGTTCCCACTGTAACTTCCCATTTCCAACATTTTCTACACCCTCCCCACCCTGGTGTTCTAAAAAATCACATATTGCTATTCCCATAAAACAAATGATGGTTTCTTCCTTTCCAGCCTAGGCTGCCATCCACACCGCTGTGAATCTGAGCTGGCTATTGACATCTTGTTCCTAGTTTCACACTACACTAATAAGAAATGTTTTAAGAAACCCCACAGTGCGAAATAATATTGCTTTTTCAGAAAACACATAGATCTATTTAATGCTTAGTGCTTTGCTGCATCTATATGGTAATCCATTACAGCACACTCGAAATAGAAATTAGGTATTACTACTGATCAACACATCAGGGTATCTGTCAGTTCTTTTAACTGATTATCCATAGTTCTTTTTCGTTTGGACTTCCTGCATGACTAGGAATAATGTTAAGTTTAAATCTTAGTTTACACAGGATGCTGCTCTTTGAAAGCTGGATCTCTCTCTTTTATCACAGCAGAATAAAAACCACCGAGGTTTGTATTTCAGCAGACTTGCTCCGACTTCCCCGACACTGCAATTTCTTTTACAAAGCCTTTTCCTTTTGCCCCCGTTGTTGAACGGTGCCAGGGCTGGCAGCTTTGTGCCTATGGCTGAGTGCTGCCCTGACACAGGGACAGCTGGGACCAAACCTTCCCACGGGATCCCCCCAGCCAGGAGGTTTCCAGCTCCGCTGTCCTGCTTACCAGAGCTGCTCTGAACCTGGCTCTCAGTACCACAGCCACACCAAAGGTGCCCCGGCTGACGGAACGCTCCTGGAGCCAGGGACAATGGCAGTGACAATGTGTTTAACCACCGAAACCTGCAGCAATTGAGACATTTTTCAGCTCCTATTCACCAGCTCAGATAAGCCAAGAGCCCAATGGAGTCGCTGTGCCTGCAGCAGTCCAGTTTAAATGAAGGGATCTCCATTTATTGCATTAATAAATTATTTACAGTCATTTGCTGAGGGAAAATGTCTGCCCACAGCACACAGGGCACTTATTACTGTCCCAGGCATAACAAGATACAGTAAGATCTCTGAAGTCAAACATAGGAAACAGAATTTACCACCGAATGCTGCAAGAATAACAAGAATGTTTACTAAGAGCAATAACAAATGAAATCAGAACAATGGTAGACTGAACTACAAATGGTTAAAAAAAGTAGTTTTCTATATGTAGAAAAGAAGAGCTCTAAGCACTTTTATCCCCCTTTTTTACTCTAGTGAGCTTGACAATCAGCCAGCCAAGTCTGTGTGACACACTGGAGGTTGAACAGTGTAACTGGGAATCCCAGCAGGAATTCCACAGGAACCCACTGCAAGGCTGTAAAAAACCGACAACCTGAATTTAAAGCTGCAACTCTGCATTTTAAGCTCTGACTCTTAATGGTAACTCGATTTCAAGTGTCAGGTAACCTACAGGTGGGGAAATTAAGATACTGAGCTGTACAGACGTGAGGGAAATGCAAACAGCAAAAAGAAAGTTAAATAACAGGGACAACCCCAAGAAATGAGAATTCAGGACCTGTGGTAACAGGAACTCAAAAACAACTTGATTATTCCTTATAAAGAATTTTAAAAGTACTTTCTTTTACCACTGGCCAGTTTCAATACACAATTTAATTCCTCAGGATTCAATTACACTCACTTTTGTTCAAAAGGTAGCAAGTAATTAGGAATAAGTCCTGAGACAAGTAAACCACCCTAAGATAATGCTACAAATATAAAAGAGTGTCCTTTTGCACTTTCATACATCGTACCAACACAGCACTGAAGTCTTTTGAAAGAGTTAGGAATGTGAAAGTACTCCAAGGTCCACTGATGCAGGTTTTCATGAAATTGAAAATGACCTGCTAAAAACGACCATTGGTTTGGAGATTTGTTTTAAGCTGCTTCCCCAATACTGCTAATTCATAAAGGACACCTGTAAGGTGCTGGGAGAATTCGGCAGTTAAAATACCCACAGCAGTCTTACTCCAGAGTGAACCACAGTTGTACATTCGACCAGCTCTAGTTCTGAGCATTACTAGGAGGGCTGAAAAAGCAGTGTCTGTGCCCAAGGTGTGTTGGTGCAGTGCCAAACGTGAGGGCTCTTTATGTTATGTTACTGTGCACTGGTAAAATATAAACAAGCAGAGAAATCCAAGCTGAGAAGCTTCCAGTAAACACATCACCCATGGGGAGTGGGAGCACCCACCCCGTCTCCTCAGCTGTCCCCAACCCTACAGTGACACCTGAACTATGTTGACACGACCTGAAACACCTCCAGCAACAGCAGCCACTTCCAGAAGTGGCTTCAGGAAGCTCTTCTACACTAGAAAGATTATCTGAAAAATTCTGAGAATAAAACACTTCATCCAGTGAATGTGTTAAATCTGTGGGATGAATTTTATGACCCCATCAGCACAAAAGGTACGACGTGGCTGTTCTTCACTACTAAAGCCAAATTACAAAGAATGGGAAGAAACTGATCTGTGTATTGTATCAAAGCCATCAGTCTGCTTTTACTTCATTAGAGATAAAACAAATGCAGTGTCAGAGGAATCAGTATCTGATGCTGCAAGAAAAAAAATTACATTATTATAAAAAAACCCCAAGCTTTCACAAGCAGATGATGACAGAACACTGTAATGGGACCCAGATAATGGACATAAGTGCAGTGTGCCTTCTGTGAGGTCTGTGACACACCAGGCTCAGAGCTGCCCTCAAACCTGAGAACAGGGACACGAGAAGTAACAGGAACCTGTTCTGCAAATACACTGCAACTCTGGAGAGAGCCAAACCTCAGCAGAGAACAAGAAAGTCTGTTGTTCATATATTTTCGGGTTTCTGGTTGAAACAGGGAAAAATAACACAGTACAGTTGCTGTATCATTTCACAAATACCTATCTGGAAAAAGACAAGGCCAAAGTACCTTAGAGAATATAGAGTTAGAACTAAGAATTTTGTGATATTAATTGCAAAAAAGCACTTTCCAAAACGAACAGTTAACCCTACACATTCCTCCCTTCTGATTAACATTTCTTCTTTAAAATACACGTTGTTTGATGTTGCTGCTGAGTGGCCAAGCTCTGTAGCTGATGTGTCAAATTCAAAAGTCCGTAAATTACAGGCGGGTTAAGTCAGTTTGCAGAGGATTTGTGGGCAAGGCCTCTGTTGCCCAATACACACACTAGGTGTCACTCCACAACAGCAGCACGATCCCACCAAACCGCCAGGAAAGGCCAAGTCAATTCCCTCATAAATATTTTTATTGATTTTTAAGCTGTTTGCACTCAGCACCTGGACTCTGGCTTTGTTAATCCTAAGTAGTTACCTATTTAGCTAATTAGAAGAAAACGCAGCACCCCCTGGCTCATGCTGACATCAGATTGAATATGGAAAGCTTAACAATCATTAGTTTTGTTTCCTGTGGCTTAGGGTGAATGTTCCATCACTCGGCATTTCCTTTTGCCTGTCCTGTGTTGAGGCTGATGGGTTCTTGGTCTGTGCTCCAAGGCCTCCACTGGGGACCCCAAACAGTTCAGACACAAGTGTGGGTTTTTCCTCCTTCAGACAGCATGTTCTGATGGCTTTAGGGAGTGTTAAGGGGCAGTTATGAGCCCCAGGAACGCAGCCATTCCCTCTCACCAGGTGAGCAAGCATTAGCTATTTGCCATTCAGTGACAGGGCCACAGAAACATCCCCCCCTATTAAGGTTCCAGTGTAAGGGTACTGATGAGCTGCCATTCACAGGCACAGCTGTCCACACCTTCCCTGCTGGGCTGGAGAGGGAGGAGCAGGAAGAGCTTCTCCTGCCCCAAACACTGACCTGGCAGATTTTTGAGCTCTGGGCAAAACCCTAAAGCAGATTCTTACTGATGCAAGGAGCAGAAAGGACAGTTCAGATTTCAGTCTCGTGGTTACAGGGGAGAAGGGAGGGAGAAGAAGAAAAGGGAGCTGAACTGGCTGCATCAAAGCAAGAATCTGAGATCACAAAACCCCAGGATTTCATGTCATCGTTTTCACGGCCATTTTTCCCATTACAGGCACGTTAGGCTAAACAGCATCATCTTTACTATCAATATAAACACCATTCCAACTACAAACTACTTATTAATGCAAAACCATGAAACCACATGTTTGGGTTGGGTTTTCTTAGAGCGAGTGAGAAGAGTTGAGAACAATTAGCTTTTGTTTTCACTTCCCTTTCTAGATAGTCCCACTGAAAGTTTGAGGGCTTTTTTCCTACCACCCCTACCAAAAATAACCCAAAATATAAATAAAGATGGCATTTCTATGATGCAACATGCAAATAAAAAGTCAGTAGTTGCAGTAACAAAGAGAAAGAAATAAACAAAACAGAAATAGAGAGAAATCAACAGAAGATGTGTGTTTAACCTTAAGAAAGAAATCTGGCCAATTATTTTCCTAATTAACTGTCAAAAATTAATATTTAAAAGTGCCACTGCTTTCTGAGTACAGAGACAGGCAGAGCTTATGCTAAGAATTTCAGTATGCATTATAAAAATGTTTTTATATGCTAGGCTTTCATCTGGTCCAGTGATATTTTAAGGATATTTCACATCCAAATATATTTAGGTCTTTAATTAAAGAGGTAGCTCGGAAAATGATCTATTCCAGACTGTTCTTCTTTTAATTAAAACAATCCTAATTTGATTATGCAGAAGTTAACTCGGTAACATTTCCTCCCCAGACACTGCCCACGCTCCGATGGCCGATGCTGGGAAGGATTTGCTCCTGGAAGTGAAGGATGCTCCGCTGAACTAAAGAAGTCTAAGAAATTAGAATTTCACATGCTCAGATTAAACTGATATGCAGTAGCTGACAACTCCTATCCTCTTATTTCCCTTGTGCTGCCAGGCCAAACACTGTAACCATAAGAGATGCTTTCATGTGAGAGGAGCTGGGCCCAGACTCCTGCTGTGACACATTCAAAATAAACGTAACACTGAACTTCACACTGACACGGGGTAGGGAAACAGTGCTGCTGTTCTGAACTGCCCCTCCACGAAATACAGAAGCAAAACCTTCAAAGAACAGCAGAAACAGAGTGTTTTGAAAGCTTTAGCCTAACAGAGGCTATGGAACCACTGATCACATGCTCCCCAAATGATCCTGAAAACCCCAGCTCATTTTCAGCCCCAGATCCCCAGGACACAGCGTTACTGCAGGATTTCCAAGCCATTTGCACAAAACATCTTAACTCTGCATATTCATTTAACGACATTCTCACTGCACAATAAAATGGTTGTTGTATCTGCAAGCTGAACGCCCTCCCCAGCTCTGTTCTGCCTTTCCCCTGGGACTGACACCTGCCTTCACCCCTCTCTGCAAAGCACTAAGTAACACAGAATGGCAATGAGATTTAAAGTACAAATTTGCTTCATGGTATGGAAAACTTACTTCAAAAAGAAAGAGGATGGAGTCCAGCTCCTCCCTTTGTGATTTATTCCCTGCAAGACACAAACCAATATTGTTTGCCTTAAAAACATAGTGTGAGACAGCAGCATCAGGCTGTTGTTGTTCAGCTGAGTCAGAGGTGTCCCCCAGTTTATTTTTCACCTTTATCCAATATCCCAAGTGCAAGACATGCCCCAAGTGTGGTGCCTCTCTGTGCTCTGCCCACGTCTCACCCGAGCAGCCCCAGCTGCAGGACCCCAGCAGAAGGTGAGAGGACACGTGTGGAAAGCACAGAACTGAGCTCTGTGCTGAAATGACACTTACCCATGAAAATGAACTCAGAAATCTGATCAGCTGCTGACATTTCTGAGAGTGATTTCCCATGCTCGTCCCTTCTGCTGCCATGAGTTAAAGTGATTAATACTAACTCTGTGCTACAAGAAACTATTGACACAAATACAGATAATCACTGCACAGCCTCTAATGGAATTGCTCTGGAGAACTCGAGGGGAACACCAACCAACACCTGCTGGCAAAACTCTACAGCTTACCTTTTTGTTTCAAGCTATTTTCCAGTGTTATGAAGTTTTCATAGAATATAAAATAAATTTGAGAATAATTATTGTCAAAAAATTGCTTCAGGTCACTTCCATCCACAATATCTGAAAAGAGGAGAAACAGTGTTATTACACAAGAGCAGAATGCTGAAAATCCTTGTTTTTCTGCAAATTTAGCATTAGAGAGTGAAATAAATGTGATACAAAACTATTTTAGTGACTACAATGAATATTCAGTACTAAAATATGACTCCATCCCTGCCAGTAAAACAGGGAACTGTCCATTTTCACTGAATTTATGAAAGTTTGCAGTGGGGCTTTGGCTCATTTGCTTTCCATAAAATAAAATAACATAAATGAGGCAAGTCTCAACCATATAACCAACCAGCTTCTGCACCACTGAAACAAGCAGGCACTGCTAGAGGAAACAAACAAACACCAGCAAAGATTTCTGGATGCAAATCCAGTTCTTAAATTTACCTGGCAAACAGATCGACTCAGAAAACAGCATATTTCTAATTCTTTTTTTAAAGTAATGGCAACCCAGGCATGCATCACTTTCCAAAGCCTTCACTTACTCTGAAATTTGGACTGAGTTTACTTTTTAAGAAGATAAAAGTCTGATGTTTTCTTAACCTAACACTTGCCAAACACATCAACTTCACCCATTTGCTCTTCATTGCAACTGTTTGGGTCCAGAAAGATTAAGCAATTCCATCCAGAATTAAGAGGAACTCTCACTGAAGCTTCACCCCATAAGAAACCCATTCATAACCAAAATAAAGCTGATTGCAGCAACAAGTCCTAAAAATATCCCACGACTACAGAAAAAAGAACGACTTTAGCCTTTGGACAATTAGATTTTTATTTAAATTAATACCTTTGCTGCAGTAAGGCTTTGCTTGGCTGCTCGTACTATGGAAACAATTAGTGCAGGGAAACTCTTTAACATGATATTTGTTTCCTACAAACTACTGGTCTCGAATTTGCAAGCTGAGTGCAATTATTCCTCTCCATGAATGCGTTCTGTTAAACACAACTCCAGGGGAAAACAAGGCCTTCATTTACAGGCGTTTCATATGAAGGAATGAGGTCACTAAAATCTACACAAAAAGGAAACTTTCCCTGTGAATTGTGAAAGGGGGAGAAAGGAACTGCCTTATCAAAAAATAAATTCTCCTTTTCTCTAAATGTGGCATCTCAGTGGTGACTCAGGGTGAGTCTGATGTGAGCTGCATCCCTACAGCCCCAGCCTTTTCTTCCAGATATGTTTCACTTGTAGCAGGATACGGCTCGTTCCTGTTTTTCAAATGGAAAACATCAGGGAAACTTTCCTGGGCCATTTATCATTTGAGATAACGAGACAGATTCCTGACTTTGGGGAAATCCCATTGACTGGATGAGTATTTCTGAACAGTCAAGGAAGTGCTGCACAAGGCTGGGGCTGAGCTGCAGGTACTTTTACGTTTGTTTACTCACAAATAGCTCCGGTTACTCCAGCTGCAAACAGGCTCTGAGGGCTCACACCTCAGGCAAGCTGGTAGACAGCAGCAACCACCAGATCCACAGCAGCTTTCCAAAGCCCTGGAATTCACCCCCTTCCCAAACAAGGATAGGTGATCCATAGGCTCACGCTTCTGGTTAACACATGAATGTAGCTTTGGCAGCGAAATCCAGGAAATAGTGAGACATCCGTGACAGCCACATCCTATTTCTTCCATATAAACATGACAAGATTGGCTCGCTGGATGCCTCCCAGTCACCCTGACTTGCTTTACTTCTTAAAAGTAAAATTTTTAGGGAAACAAACTACTCAGGTACCATTTAATAAGAGTCTGAGATTATTGTCAAGCCCTCACTGCTCTTCTTTTAAAAAAGAACTCCATGGAGACAGTAAGTCTCTCCTTAGCACACAGATGATCTTTTATCATCCTGTTAACTACAAACATTATCACAGGCACTTGACAGAAATCCTCCCTTGGTTCCTTGAATTTCCAAAGTCACTTGACTTTATACTATTTATACAAAGCTCACTCAATCCTCAAGTACTTGAAAAATTAAAGGAGATGAAGAGAACTCCACAGTCATACCCTGGTTAATGATAAACTTTTACTACCAGCCTCACCCCAGAAGTAACGCACAATTTTTACTTATCTTCAAAAAAAGTATGTCAGCATGGAAACAGACTGTTACTGGAACACCCCTCCAATTAGAACAATTTCCAAAATAATGTCAACACCTCAAATTTCACATGAGCTCTCTGGAACAACACCAGTGAGAAGCCCAGACACATTTCCCTTTTGAGTGTCTCAAAGAACATTTCCACTGAGCTGGTGTTACTCCAGCTGCACACAACTGTGAGACCAAGCAGTGCCAGAACTGGAACCCCACTACTCTCCCTTATTATCCCATTTCTGATGGACCGAGGGCCACGAAAAACAGGGTTCTTCCCAACTGGTATTTTGTCAAGACAAAGGACTGCACTTGGTAACCTAACAAAGTTCATATTTAACCCTCACTGAAGGTAAGGTTTCAGTGTGCAGCTGTAACAAGTCTCCCATATATCTGCCCAACAGAGAAAAAAGGATGAAAGCACTGGGCATGGCAGCACCCCACATCTGGCAGCAGCAGCACTCATCACACCTCAGTATTTCAACTGTGCCTGGGAGAAAACATTACTCAGAAGATGTTTCAATAAAAAAGAGAGTGTTTTTACTCAAGAATAGCCACAGAAAAAGTATGGGAGAGCAGTGATTAATCTTTATACTACAAAAGTCCCATAGAAACCACTCTGGGAAACTGTAGAGGTTTCATTTATGGCCACTCAGTGGGGAAGAGCCAAACCTGTACATCCCCATTGCTGCTTATCAGTCCATTGTTTTTTAAGTCTACTGTAAAAAAAAAAAAAAAAAGCCACACCACTGACACTTCCACAAACTATATTTGGAAAAAAAAAAGTTCTACTGACTTTATGAAAGTTCTGCACATAAATACATCTCTACAGCAATAAAAAAAATAAGGGGGCAATGTTCTGGTCATTTCCCCAACACAAAGGAACGCCCACTTATTCTGGGTAGTGTTCTGTGCTGCCGTGCAGGAGAGAATTCCCCACAGATTAGGAATTTAGATCCTAAAGGGCACTTGAGCCCTGAGAGATAAGCAATACAAACTTATAGGGAACCTTTCAGTTTGGGCACTGCACAAACTTGCACAGATGGCACTAAGGGACTGAAGCAGCCCAGAGCTCACGTGAGCCCTTATTTATGGAAATACACATTCCTTCACTCATTCCTCCCCTATTATCGTCCTCTCCCTGATCTTTATCCTCCTGCATCACTGGGATCACAGAGGCGTAACTGTCATTTTGTTTACAATTTAATTCCTGTGATTTAAACCTAACAAAGGAAGAGCAGTTGGCATCTCCTAAGGAAACACAAGACCAGGAGCAGCTATTTGGAGAACATGTGCCCCTATGGCTCCAGAAAAGCAGTTGGTGACAGGGAGTGAAACCTTCGGGCTGGGAGGAACAGACACACATTCCTACCTTGCCCAGCACGAGGAGAGATGCATCTGGGGAGAATGAGGGGAAAAAAAAAATCAAACTATTTCTGAGCCTTTATCCAAAAGCTTTGTTTTCCTTAAATACCGGAAAGGTCCTTCCGATGTGTTGCCTCATTGTCTGTGCTGACCAGTACCATAAAAGATACACTTGAAACAATATCCACGAAGATATCATCTTCAGAACGCCCCTCCTGTACTATCTCAAACGTTTCCACTGCTGTCCCCAAAAGCAGACATCCTAGAAACATGCCCAGAGCCCTCGGACACAGTGCCTGCCCTGACCCCCAGCCCCCAGCAGCTGCCACACCACGGCCCCCAGTCAGCCCTCTGGCACTGGGAACAACCTTCACTTGAGACCAAGGTTTCATCCAAGAAACCAGGTCACTCCCTCCAGACACAGCAGCCACTTGGAAGCAAAGATGTCACTTCCCGAGAGCGACGCGCGTGATCCCCTCCTTGCCAACTGGGTAATAAGTATCTTGACAGAAAACCACCAGGCAGCACCACCTCCTGTACCATCTGCTTGGGGACAGAAATTAATTCTGGCACGCTAATGGGCATGGTTTTTCCATTTGTTCCCCCTCCAGGTCTGTCTCAGGAGCCGGAGAGCCTCCTGGGCGCCACAGGGGCACACAAAACCCAGCACTGCCCCGAGACAACCAAGAGCCAGAGCAAGCCCAGTGCTGCAGCTTAAACCAGTCGGGTCTGGCTGAGAGGCTGAAAGGGGCACATGAACAAAAAAGCTGCTCTATTTCTCAGTTCTTCGAGTCTATTTATTTCATTGAGGTTGGTGGGGAAGGAGGAAATGTACAGTCCCAAGCTCACACCGCAGTCTCAGGTCACGATCTTTATCAGGACAGTTTCACAAAACACTCTAAAAAACTCTTAAAGAATTTCCCACGATCACTTTGCAATAAAATGGACATTATTTTAACGTAGTTCACACAGCAGATGAGCAATTGGACACGCACAGTTAAAAGGCGTATGGTAATACCAGCACCTTCTCCCGGCTTTTCAAATCCCTGCCCCCAGGCACTCCCACACGCGGCTCCATCAAAACAATCGAAAACAAACAAAAAAAAAGCGTTTCACACACCTTCCGAAACTCCCCCGTGTAGTTCGCAGGGGGAAATCTCCACGAAAGTAGCCCCTCGCGACTCCCAACCGCGGGCATTTCTTACCCGCGGGCCAGGAGGAGTCCCCACCCGGGGGGGGGGTCCCCTCGCGGACACGGCGCGAGCCCCTCGCGGAGCCCCCTCAGCGCCGCCCGGCCCGGGGGCACGGCCAGCACCGCCGGGCTCGGAGCACCTGTGCCCCTGCACGGCCCCAGCGCTGCCCACCCCGACCCCGCCGGATTGCACCTCACAGCTGAAACACATCACCTCCCTCCAACAAGCAACAGCTGGAGCTCATCGGCTGCTCTCAGCCTGCAGAACTGTGAGGGGAAAGGCTTCACCTGCAGGGCGACATTAGCGAGGTTCAACCTTGCCACACGCGCAGAAAAGCATCACAAAGCGCCATACCATGGCCTCCCTTAAAGTTAAAAAAAAAAAAAAAACAACCACAATAAAGAGCCCCACATTAACGCTGCTGACAAAAGCAGAATAGATCTCCCGAAGAACCTCGCGTGAAACACGTTTACCTTCTATTTACTACCCAAGGCTGCACCAGGAGCGCTTGGACACCGGGAAACGCGAATTCCCAAAGGTAGGAGCAGGGAAACATAACCGCAACTTTCTCCGGCAGCTCCCGCGCCTCAGGAAGGGACACCCAGCGCTGCCCCTCAGCAGCGACAGCTCGGGGAGCCCACGGGGCTACACGGGAGCCTGGGGGTCCCACGGCAGCGAAAGGGGGCTTCTATCCCTCCGTTCCACCGCCTTCCCGGGGGAAAACACTCCCCCGGGCAGCGCTGCGAGGGCGATGGGCGCCCGGAGCAGGAGTGAGGGGCGCGGGTGCCCTCAGGGCGCGGGGGGTCCCCTCACGGCCGCCGCACTCACCCAGCAGCGCGCGGAGGTGCTTCAGCCGGGTCAGCACGTCCCGCTTCGGGTCCAGCGCCTTCTGCGTGGATTTCCTGACGTCGGCGTGGCCCTTCCTGGAGAACATCGCGGCGGGGCCGGGCGGGGGGATGCGGGGGACGCCGAGGATGGGTGTCGGGAGCGCTGCCGGGGCGCTCCCCGCGCGCGCCGCTCCCCCCTCCCTCCCCGCACCGCCCTGCGCCGCGGCCGCGCGGGGCGCGCCGGGAGCCTCGCGCCGCTGACGTCACCGCGGCGTGGCGCTGACATCAGCCCCGCTCGGCCCCGCCGGTCCCGCGGGGCAGCGGGAGCCGCCGTGCCGACCCCCGCGCTAGGTAGGCTCTGTGCCCTCACCGCGGAACCCGCACCCTTCCACGGCCATCCCCCCTTCCGCCAGCCCCGGCCAGCCCGGCCCGGGACACTCGCAGGGATGGGGCAGCCACAGCTTCTGTGGGCAACCTGTGCCAGGGCCTCATCACCCTCACACGGAACGGTTTTCTAACGTTGGATTTCCTCATCCAGTCCAAATCTCCATAGGAAAACCCTCAGGTTTTCAATAACTGCTTGCGCTATAAATATATAAATATTTACCGTCTTTATATTTAAATATTTACCGTATTTATATTTAAATATTTACTGTTTTTATATTTAAATATTTACTATTCCCGTGACACAGAGGGTTCATAGTTATACAACAAAAGCATGATCCCCCCCAGAAGTAGGAGCCAGCAGGGTTTTGATTAAAGGTCTTCAGATCCTCTCAGTAAAATTCTTGTGTTAAAAAAAAAAAAAAAAAAAAAGTAAATTTTAATAAGCTCCAAGGCAGGTTCTGTGGTCCTAAAAAAGAAAACACTGCGTGTCAGAGAAATAAGTTGTGTGTATACTTAGCCTTAAACAAAATTATTCAAGAATCAATTTGCACATCATGTAGAAATTAATTTTCAGCCATGAATCATTGTAAAATAATAAAATGTCCCAAGAAATACTGCTGTTAGGAGCAGAAAATACATCACTGCCACATCTCGCTTCCTCTGAGGCCTCTCAGGGACCATTTCTGCTGCAAAGGCCTGGGGTCACCAAAGCAGCAGGTCAGCAAGCCCGAAACATGTCCCACTGGAGAAGGGACAGTCCCAGCAAAGGCTGGCCCTGTCACCAAACCTTGTGGTATTCCTGCTGCTCTTGAGAATTCACTTCCTGCAATCAGGAAGATGGATAGTGCTGATGTACAGCATTTAAAAAGAAAAATAAAAGTTAATTCTTTTTCTTGCCCCAAAAAGATGGAGCACACAGCCTTGGAGTCAGGCACAGAAAATTCACTGCTGCCCCCCCGTCCCTTGTCTTGGAGCCCGTTCCAGGCTTACAGTAATTCCTATTGCATATTCTTCCCATCACACCATTACACAATGTCTCCTTCTAGAAGAGTTATGAAGCTGCTGCAATTGTCTAAAATTTTGGGTCACATGTTGCAATTTGAGCATTTGCAGCTTCCTGAGAGGAGTGAATTGGGCCAGTCCAGCTTTCACCTTCTATTGCCACGAATCAATTTGTGCAGTTGGCTGAGGAAGCACATGGCTAGAATCTTGGCTTCCTCTTGTTTCTTCTTTCTTTTTTTTTTTTTTCCTTCCCTTTTATTTTAATTGACTTACAAAACCAGTGACTCTCAGTTTGTCTCTTCTGCCAGTTTCTGATTGTTCCGCGGTTTTGTCTTTTTCTGCTTTGTTAAAAAAGGAACCATTGCAGATGAAGGAATTGTGCTTATACAGCTGCTCTGGTGTCTGATGACTTCCGTGACAAGGAGGGAAGCGATGTGGTGCTGAGCACCAAACTGCACAGCTTTGGTCACTTGTCGCTTTAAAGGTTGCCAGAAATTCTCCTTGTGGGAAGCTCCACTGAATAAGAATTCCACGGCTGGAATCGTGGTGCTCCAGAACAGTCCGTGCTGTCCCCGTTAGGAGCTGGGAATCGGCGTCGTCTAACACTGCCATAACTGGAGTGGTTGGGGGTTGTTGAGTTGTGCTTTCAGCACGGAGTTAAGGTTATTTATCTAATTTCTCGTGTGCCCATGAGCTGCCAGGTGACAAAGTGCTGCTGTAGGTGCTGGGAGGTGATTCCCCGTGGGGCAGGATGTCCCCTCTGGGGCCTGGAGGGCTGGCGCTGGGGAGCCAGCGGGTTGTGATACCCAGCAGCAAGGTGCAAAGCCATGGAACGGCATCTCCTCAGAGTTTTAAGTAGGAGGATGAATCCAAATTAATATGTACCTGTAGGAACTCAGATTTCTGTGTAGCTGACCTAGAACTTATTAGCTCAAAACATAATCAAATAGAACCTCTCAAATTATTCACTTGGGAGCTGATGCAGCATGGCACAAACCAGAAATGCCAGTAAACCTGCATCAGTGGGAAATTTGCAATTTCCCAGAAGGGGCAGTGCATTGCCTTTGGTGTGTAACGATGCACGGGGCAGAGCCACAGTCACATTGTGACTGTGGCTCTGCCCCGTGCATCGTTACACACCAAGATGGGGTAGGCGAGTGCCTCTGTGTGGAAAGGTGACACCGGCCACACGAATTTCCCTGGGCCTGATGAACAGGCAGGGTGGCTTTTCCCCGCGGAGCCTGAAATTTTAATGGCGCAGATTACGTTACGGAACTTCTCCGCTTGCTTGTGCCAATGTAACACGTTATGCTGGGCCCAGGAGAAAGGGCAGGGGAAAAGTAAATACAGAGGAGACTTGCCTCCTGAATAACCTGCAGGCGGGAGAATGGTTTCCTTAGCGTAGGATGGCGGTGCTGACTTTTTGCCCTTCAAACCAAATGCTTCCAATTGTATTTAGAAAGCTGCTTTTTTGTGTCCTCTTGCAGATCCTTGGTCCAACACACGCATTAAGGCACACGAGCTCCTTATTTCCTGCACTGGGATCGGCTCACTCGATGCTTCCTGGCTTAGGTGCAGGTGCTTGGCAGGGCTTTGGTGCTGTGCCAGCGTAGGGAACCGAGGCTCTGCCCTCTCTGTCCTGATATGGCAGAGTGTGGAAAAGACTTTTCCCGCCGGGCTTTGAGCTTGATAGTTTTGTTTTCCCAGGTGTTCCCATAGGGCACACAGGCAGGGATCCCTGCCCCTGCAGAGCTCTGCTCCAGGCTCAAAACTGTGCGGTTAGTGCTGGGTTTGGAGTTCTGCTGAGTCTGTGGGAACAGCGGTGCCTCGTCCATTTACCCCCCTGGGGACTCCCGTTCAGCACCTGAAGGGTGCTCAAGGACTGGGCAGTGTCTCAGCCTTCAGAGGGGCTGTGCCCAGTTATCCAGCTTATCCAGGGCTGGAGAAGAGCAGCCCAGAGGGGGCACAGTGTCCTCGTTTCTCCTCGAGACACGTGCTGGCTGCTCCGCTCGGCACGCCCAGCCCGACAGCTTCCCAGAAAACAGTTAATTATTTAGCAGCAGTTGCTTACTTAATACTTACTTGTAGGAGTTGAATATTGACTTTAGGAAAAGCAGGTGGGACACAGCTCTCCAGGGACTGCAGGATGGCAGACTGGGGGGGGACAGTGCTGAAATAACCCACGCCTAAGGTGTGCATCCCTAAGCACAGCTGTGTTTGGGAGCTGGGCTTCCAGAAGGTCTCACTCTGGCAATAAAGGGGAATAGATCTTCTGGGTACTGGGCTATTCAGGAAGAACCTGATGGAAAATTTCTAACCATGGCAGTATATAAGGTATTCAGGTATCGTTCATATAGTAAAAATGATAGAAGAAATGCACTGTCAAAAAAAAAAACCCATCAGATTTCCTTCTGCTGGAATCTGAAACTGTGTGTAGAGGGAAAGAGAAGGATTTATGTCTATGGATGGAAAAAAAATTCCAAAATAGAAAGATCAGGGATTGCATGTCCCATGATACCTTCTAAAAGGAAATGGTATGGAGGATATGGAAATTTCATGGAGTAAAAATATCAACCCACCCAGGAGAGCTCAGACTACACTTGCGAAAGGCTGAACTGCACGAGGAGGTTTATGGCAGGTTGTGCAAGCCTGTAACCTGCTGCCCTGGCCAAGATCTTCCCATGAGGACGTGTTACAGCTCAACTTGAGAGCGGGCTAAGAAAGCAGAGATTGCTCACCCCATAAAAGCGGGAAAATCATCCCTCTGCCTCCCTGCTCCGTGTGCCACGGAACAGAGATAAAGTGCTGCTTGTCTCAACTGCGCTAAATCCGAGATAAGTGTTGTTTACTTCACCCCTCTCCAAGAGGAAAGGTCACTCGTGATCTCGGTGGAGCTGCAGCAATTTCCTCCTGGCAGCGCTCACCTCTGGCCCGGCGTGGTGGAGCTCCGGAGCCTCTGCTCCCCTCCTTGGGGACACGCCTTAACCCTGTCCCTGCCGGCCCTGAACACGCAGGCAGAGCATGCAGGGGCTGAAACAGCGGCGAGATGGTGACAGGCTCACAGAAACTCCCATGGTGCTGGGAAATGATGCACTGAGGGTGCAGTCAGGGTCATTTGTTCCTGCAACTTACAGATGAAGTGTTCTCCCACCTGTTCTCCCGTCCTCTCCCGGCTTTCTCGGGTTTCTATTGCCATATATTTCACCTAAACTCTCCTTTTCTGACTCAACGCTACGTTCATATTTTCATTTCTCTCTCGCCTTGTCCTTGCTCTTTGTCACTGGAAGGAACAATGAAGGAGGAAGGAAGGAGCTGGCTGGGATCGCCCTTGGGCTGGGCTTTGTTAACATCAAGGATGACCACTCGGATTGTCTTAACCCCGAGTTCGAGTTCCTTCTGACAAGCCAGGCTGTGTGATACCTTCAGTTCTCCTTCTGAAGAGAAGATCTCAAATGCTTTTGTACATGAGAAAGAGAACAAAAACCCCTTCAAAAAGAACCAGGAACACACAAAGCCACCGCTGGCCACTGATGTTACACACATTCTTCCTCCTTTTCTTCCTTTGCAAATGAAGGGCTGCAGAAAGCGGTGCAGTAATTACAGCCCACAGAAATGGCTCGGGTTTTCCTCTGTGGACAAGCATGACAAAAAAATTATAAAAAGTCATTTTTACCAACACAGCTGGTGTTCAGATGAAATTATGTGGTTAGCTTTGAAACGATATTAAAAGAGAAATTTTAATTAACCTGTACCACTGAGTCAGAAGATAATATCTGATGCATCTAACAGGCCTGCAGA